TCCTCCGCCCCCAAATAGTCCCCCACCCGTGTTCGTTGTCTGACCCGTGTTCATATTCCCAACCCCCCACTCACACCCGCAGTCGTGTTATTAAGAACAGGCAGCATCGGCTGTGCTTGTAGCGAATTTGTCGGTTGAATCCCAAATATTGAGGGTTGGGTTTGCTGAGGTTGTTGTTGGGGGTTGCTGCTACCAAAGATGCTTGGCCGTTGTTGTTGTGGTTGCTGTGATGAGGAGTCGACAAGGCACACTCCCGTTCCAAATTGTTGTTGTGGATTCGGCGGTGCCACTGGTTGGCGTGCTATGGCGATTGGTCCCGTGCCCGTAGATGTGAAGCCGTCTGACATGAGGTTTATATGAAGAACTTGTTCAGTGCTATAAAGAAGAGATGGATGGTCTGTCAAAAGTTGAATTGTTGTGGTTCAAGGGAGATTCACGTACAATTCAGTGAAGGCTTTTGTACTTTGACAGACTAGATCGATGTCGTCACTTCTTACAAGCATGAGGTTTTCAATACGCCTTTTAGGCGTCGCTCGATGCCAGCAACGATTGCGTGCAGGAACAGGTGCTCTTTCGACCCTTCATCCAGCTGCTTGATAACTACAACCTTCCTTCCGGCTTGACGGCCTTGGAGGACGATTGCGACCTAGTAATATCGTCGTAAGGCGTGTGTTACGCGGGGGGTATTGAACCTCATACCTTGCCGGGCTTGTACACTGTATGATGAGTTAGTAGGTTGGTCGCCTTGAATGGAAGGCGGCGACGACGTACTTCGTACCATGTCAAACCACCCCCGTCGCGTGCCCGCCTCACGCAGTGACGTTGACTTTGAGACTACTTCCCGCGAGTCCTTTACCATCGTGTTGGATCAGTGACAAGTACGTCTTCTTATTGAATTCAACCCAGTATTGACCAACGATCGTTATCCCCTGCATAACTTTCGCCTAACAGTGTGGTGCCTTCGTCGACAAGCAGGGCAGGAACCTCGGGAGCAGGGGGAAGCAGCATAGGCAAGTCCTGAGGACAGGCGGCAGGTTTCCAGAGAGTGGATTGCGCTTGAGACAAGGGAGAAGAGGGCGGACGCGATGATGAAGGATGAGGAGCAGGTGGTGATGAGTGTCAAGCCAACTAGCGCCGCTGCGTGTGACGTCTGGTCACTGCTGCGAACCACTTTCAACATCGTCCCCATACGGATTCCCCAGCCGGGAGCGTACGCTCGTCTTGACCCTTCTCCAGGCGTTTAGCCGCTCCCACATCTCAATATTAGCCAAAGCACTTTCTTCCACATACATGTGCGCGCTTGAACCGCAAGGTAGGCTCAGATATCTTCTGCATCATTATACTAATAGCAAATTTCTTTCCATAGCGGCATCCTCATCCATCGCGTTGTTACACCTAAGGATCTGAAAGCAGTGCCAGATATCGCATAGCTCTGCTGCTTTGCCCCCCACCTCTCCTGAGAACCTCAGGTGTTACCATGTTCCTGGTGAGTTGTTGTCTCCACTGTGACTGCCACGTTCATTGCTCACGAAACTTAGCACTCGTTATCTAGCCTCAAGCCTTCCCGCACGACATTAAGCATCCTCACCATCCTCCCATTTCGAACTTCTGCATCGTCTCAACTCAAGACCCTAGATACAACCACGCGGAGACTATCGTCCTTGGATTTGGAATTTGAACTTGGTCGGCAAGATGTCCTTTGGTTTGTTCTCGTATTAATTCTGACATTAACGTGGACCTTCGTTTTGTCTCTAGTTGGCCTCGAAAGGTGTCTTCAACATATCACTGGTAATAATCATAATCTATCTTCATCTAGGGCTGCGGGCTGATCACCTGTTTTGTAGCCTCCAAGGTCGAGTCTACTAGTTTTCATGATGATCAAAGCCTCACCTGGGGCGGGTGACCCCAAAGGCGCACTCGGCTACATGCTAGTGATTTTGGAATTGCCGTATGTACGGGTTTCTATCGCTACCTTTAAACCTTTTCGGCCCAGCCGGTTATGGGGCAGATAAAAAGCTTCATCATTCGAGGTTGCTGGTCTTGTGTTTTCTTCATTCATGGTCTATGCTATCTAATGCTCGTCTCGAAAGTCACCCTCTGAGAATACACATTTCAATATCTCGCTCGCCTGACGAGATTTACAGAAGAATGATTTGCATGTATCCCTCTATGTGCCCGTGTTGGATGGGACCATTTCGACATCTGGAGGCCACTTGTTTGAATGATTTTATAATGTATCATGGAGGATCCGCTTGCGGGTATGGCAGTCTTGTTGAATAACAAATGTGACCTGGGCGCTTTGGATGATGAAGTACTATTCGTTCATGAAATGCTAACATCCATTCCAAATTGTAGGTATCCTGCACGAGTAGCTCATTCAGTCAGCATCGGAGATTTGACGAGATATATGTAGTGTAGATGTTTGCTCTGGGGGATGAATTTGCTCATAAATCTACCCTGGAACTTCTACCGGTCGCTTGCACACAAGATCGATTAACGGCTGTGCAACTTTCTCGGACCACTCCTTTGGTACCTTGTACTTCTCTGACCGGCGTTGTCGATAAAGTTGCATTACTTCCTTCCGAATGTATGTCGCAGTATTGCTGCCCTGATCATACCATTTTATCATAGCTTCAAGCGTTTTCTCATCGTTGATATTGAAAACGTAGACTTTCTCCATGATGAGCACCGTGTCTTCGCATTGCCGTAGTCAGCCTACTGATACCCATTACAACCAAGAAAACATTTACTAACCTGCTACCCGCTGTTCCCACCTACAGAAAGCCATCAAATTCGGGTGGGCATTCACCTCGGAGAAGTCGGATGATTGTCGGTGGCCTATGAGACGTCGGCTGTCATCCAAATGTTTTTCCAAGAGACGAATAAGCTTGTGGGAAGAAAACATATCAGTGAACTTGGTATTACAATGGATTGAATCGCTTACCTTGATCGGTGCTTGAGGCCCCGATGTAGAGTCTGTCCAAAAGGTATCCCAAGTCTTGATGAAAGGTCCACCACGAAACATCTTCTCGGAGTAATTTTTATGATAGTTCCCTGAGGAGATAACCGTTTTAAAAATGGTCATATATACTTATCAAGAACCAACAATTTAATCCATTTCTGGGGAAACAGGGGTTAACATTCAATGAATGAAGCACGCAGTGATGAAGGCGAATGATACTTACACAGCAGACGTGATGAGTTTAATTTTACTATCGGCACTTTGGGCAGAGGCGAAAAACGTTCGAAGGTCATAACCGTTTCGTGCTTGACGCTGCGTTTCTGTCAGAGACAATACTTTCAGTGATTCATCAATCAATCGGGCTAAGCGACTATCGTCCGGAGCCGACTTGTGCACTTCAAGTAACTTCTTGTCAAATACGATGCAAATTTGCACACCAAGCCAACTCACCTTCGGATAGAGTTACAACGGCCCTTGGTGGATGCTGCATGCTCTCAAGGGGTTTCTTGTAGTGCTGCTCGAATCGTTTGTCCGCCTCAACACCAGCAATCTTTTCGAGCTCGTCATCATCAACTTCCTCGTCTTCTTCTTCCGCTTTTTCTTCCAATTTCTGCTGCATATCTTGTAAAAATGTGTCGAACTTGGTCACAATGGCCACAACCGGTACTATGGGAAACGTCACGTTTGAAAATGGTGATTCATCTTTGATCTTACCTGTCAAAGGCATCGAAAAAAAATCTTTCTCTGCTTGCTGGATGGGCCGAGAATTCATCTCCAAGCAGTACCTGCGGCAATTCGGCTGAGCTTGCCCATAATGAGGAAAAGGGGCAAGACGAACCACACCAAATGCAATTTCTGGTTTATGTCTTTTGCCCGTGAACGACTGTCGATGAATTTCCAAACAACGTCCACCTCTGCCTGCTTTCCCGCTTCAAATCCCTCGGAATCATGCGCAATAATCTTGTTGTTCCCTTCGAATTCAATTTCTTTTTCAATATTATGGGTACCTCTCTTAAGATGTCGCCTTTGGCATGTGCGCGATACTACAAGTGGAATGACTTTGCACTCACCGTGGTGCTGGGCGCGTCCACCTGAAATGGCGAAATGAAATTTAAAGCTTGCGACTCGGAGAAGCTTGATCACTCTCACCATATTCCCGCCACACACCTGGAACGAAAAGTTAGTGACTTCATAAGATGCGAACGCTGGCTTGAAATGCTAACTTTATACAGAATTGTGGTTTTACCGCACCCCGTTTTCCCGATGATCAACAATCTAAACTTTTCAAGCGGAGGGAGTGCGACCGCGACGGCTGCTGCCAGTAATCTCTTCAATTCTTGCTCCTCGGAGGCATCTAGTTGAGGCGCTTTTTCAGAATCCACATCTTCATTTTTCGATGATGACTTTAACAGTCCCTTAAGTTTATCGAACTTCGTTGGAGGGGGTTTTGGACGGGGGCGCAATGCCTCGCGAGTTGCAATTTGAAACACTTCGCGAACCCCCTCTCCAGTCTTGCTACAGCATTCAACATAGTGCCTCGCTCTGATTTTCTTCGCGACTTCTTGTCCCTGGTATGAAATGTTAGTGTGCGAGGGTATCCCTTCCGAGTTTAAATCAACCTACCTCTTCAGCAGTTATTGGACGTTGACGAGTCTTCCATAGCTCGTCAATGGTTCTGGGATCTCTTCTGAGGTCTTTTTTGCAACCCACAAGGATGATAGGGAGTCCGTGACAGAAGTGGTCGACCTCAGGAAACCACTGCGATAATCGAAAAGTAAATATTAGCACCTATATATTGAGGAGCTGGCTACGCACCTTCTCTTGGACATTGTCCAAGGAATCGGGATTAACAATGTCAAAGCATATAAGGATAACGTGCGAGTCGGGGTATGCCAGAGGACGCAAGCGATCATAGTCTTCCTGACCAGCCGTACACCGTACCGCCAACTCGACATGCTTCCCATCCACCTCAACGTCGGCGACGTAATTTTCAAAGGGATCTGGGATTGATATCTGTTCACGAGTGTTATCTGTGACGCTCCAATCAATTAATATCCACATACCTCTGGGAAGGTTCCTTTCGAGAATACAACGAGCAACGCCGTCTGCGACATACCGTAGTCAGTGTCATTTGTGCAATCCGCATTGCGATATGTCCGGACAAACCTTCCCTGCCCAACCGTCACCTACGGCGACGAGTTTTCGGCTGATCAGAGCCATCGCGTCCTAAGATCCTCGACCGTTCGCGATAGTGTATATGATAATGCCAAAGTTGCTTGTAGCACACGTTCAGATTGGGTCGCTCGGAAAGGCCCGACAGCACCCCCACGTGTTGGACAAGAGTGGTGAAATATTGGTCGACTTCGTTACTTTTTGTCCTCTGAAAGGTTCCGTTATGTTTTGACGTCTGCCTAAATTGATCGAGAGCACCTGCTCACTATATCAGTAAGCTTTACGCACGAAAAATGCTCCACTTCGGATGAGCTCACGCGCTCGGACGAAGGACGAGGGAATGCACACTCAGCATATACATCTACCAAACGAGAGGTTTTGAGTGGGACTTCTCATAACAAGTTTGATGGTGCAAGCGAAGGTTGGCAACAGAGAGATGGTTGTGAGTCGGAGATGAATTCGCGTGACGCTCTAGCAAAACAACCTCTACTTATCTTCAACAGGAATTACAAGACGGAGATCGCTACTGGTGTTATTTACAGTGTAATATATATCACAATAAGCAATACCACACACACAGGTCGAATGTCAAGTCCAAACACGAAAACCATCATCAACGGCACTCTCCCGCAAGTCACGGTACTCGTCGAACTGCTCCAAAGTTTCTCTCCCTCAACCACCGCATTTCCATTCAACCCACCACCAGCACCACCACCACCACCACCAGGCGCCGCAGTCCCAATTATAACCGCTAAGTCTCTCTGGCACTTTTGTAAAATCTTGGTACGGTGCGCTAGCCCCGCCTGCTGTTCCGAAAAGATCTAAAAAAAGAATCAACCTCAAAAAAACAAAAGGGAAAAACGGCGAGACCCACCTGCGCAATCTGCCTGAACCCCTCATCATCAACAACAGCCCACTGCCCCACCCGCCCCTCCTCGTCCCCTCTCAATAGTAGCACTAACAGCCCAAAGCTCATTCAACCTCCCTTTAACCCGTCCCTTCTTAACCTTATCCTCAATCTCCTCCAAAGTCCCCCTCATCTCCTCCTCCTCGGGCCTAATCGCAGACGACCTAACCGAAGGAATCAACGTCTGTAAATGCTGCACGAACGCCAACAATCTATGCACGATCTGCGTCTGTTTTGCGGATGCGTGGAGGAGGCGGGTGGAGTTTTGGATGGCGTGGGCTGTAGAGAGGGATTCGAGACGGGATTTGAGGTCCGAAAGTTTTTGGTGTGGGTTATTGGGATTGGGCTTCGACGCGATCGCGGAGGTCGTCGAAGCCTATGGCTATTGTATTCCCAAAGAGACCGCCACCTGCAGCTGGCTGTTGCGCGCTTGTGGTACTGCCAAAGAAATTGCCGCCCGCGTTGGTGGTAAAAGAACCATCACCAGTAGCTAGTCTTTGAGTAGTGATGGTACCGCCAAAAAGACCACCACTAGTTGCAGGCTGCTGCTGATGATTCGCCGTATTCCCAAACAGCCCCCCGCCTCCTCCACCCCCGAATACACCCCTGTTCGTCGTCTGACCCGTGTTCGTATTCCCAAACAACCCCCCGTAACCGTGTTCGGCGTAGTAGTAGCCGTCTAGTCGTCTTATTAGAACAGGCAGTGTCGGCTACGCCTGTAACGAGTTCATCGGTTGAATCCCGAATATTGACGGTTGTGTTTGCTGAGGTTGTTGAGGGTTGCTGCTGCCCAAGATGCTTGGCTGCTGCCGTTGTGGTTGCTGTCACGATGAAGAGTCGTACCCCGTTCCAAATTGGGGTCGGTTGGTCTCGTGCCCGGGATACTTAAATGTTAAGCCGTCAGACATGAGGTTTAAATAAAGAACTTGTTGGGTGCTTTAAAGAGACGGATGAGTTGAATTGTTGCGGGTCAAGGGAGATTTACGCACGAGAGTCGAATTCCAAGCTTCAGTAAAGGCTTTTGTACTTTGAGCGACTAGACCGATGCCCTCACTTTTTTACAAGCCTGGGGTTTCCAATACGTCCCTTGGGTAGCGCTCGATGCCAGCAGCAGCCAGCTTGATAACTACAACCTTCTTTCCGGCCTGACGGCCTCGGAGGACGGTTGCGACCTTGTGCTACGCGGGGACTCAAGCGCTCATAGCTTGCTGGGCTTGTATACTGTTTGATGAGTTAGTAGGTTGGTCGCTTTGTAAGGAAGCGACGACATACCTTTAGGCTTTGGCCATCTTGACGTTGACGACGAGCATTACCGCTGGTGGTGCGTTTGGGAATTCGCTGAGAGTGTGACAAAACGCGATCATGCATGTTGACCAAAGCTGCCACTCCAATGACCCATAACTCGAAGCACGACCAGGCCAAGGCGCGTGGTCTACTAGTACTTGAAGGAATTTGAATTCGGCACATGCCAATGGCGCTTGAGACTACCAACTTCAGGGTTTCCTCCATGCGGTGGCCGAACCTCCTTGTCAATGTCTGTTATCCATGTGACCACGTGATCTTCGGCGAGGTTCTGCGTCCGCGCAATACTAAGTAGCAGTACAAAGGGGAGCAAGCTCCCCAATCAGGACCTGAACTTACCTCCATGCGGCGGGGGCGGATCCTCCTTGCTCTACATTTCTCCGACAGACATGGGACTTTCGCCATCTCCCTGGATCCACGCCAGAAGGAACAACAGTGCTATTGGCTTGATAGACGCCTTCAGCGCTTCACCGGTCAACTGGTAACCTCCCAAATTGGCTTGCACTTGGAGGCTCTCCTCGCGCACAGGCAGCACCTCCTGGTTCTCGAAATAGTTCGTCGGAATGGACACTCGGTCAGACGGTTGGTTTCAAGTGCAGGTTCATAATGAAACGAATGCTCATGGTATGATACGTCTCGATGTTTCAATTTTTTTATTGATACCCGAAGCCCTCCAGCTGCAGTTGACGACAATCAACCCAACGCTAGAACACTTACCAAATTCGCACATACCCAAATGATTTACTTTAGGCTCCATATTGTGCTGTACAAGGATGTTGCGTGCTTCACCAGCTTATCCATGATAATCCTGGCATCGTCCCTTTCACTTGAAGGCATCCCCTTTCTCACTTGCCTCTCCTCGGTGATCTGTAGTAGTGTCCCCACCGTTCGTACGCTTATCGACAACTCGAGGACTTGCTTGAGAGTCACGGCCTGCTCCTCTGCCTATCAGATTCTAAACTTGTCAACTTCATGAGGGATATGGATGGTAGGTTCGTTTCCATGGATTCTGATTGTTACTTCTTCGCGCCGCCCCCCTCTTGGACTCTTTGCACAAGGATGGTAGCTTGAATTTTGGACTTAGCATCACCAGCATGCTCCGTTACCCGTCACTGCCATCTACACATGCCGTAGCGTTATTGTGCGCCTCTTACCCGCTGTTTCCATGCCGTCCGTGAGTAGATCTCCTTGCTTTTCCCCCTTCACAAAAACACTGAGCTTAAAGTTGTGCGTTGGTTGTTCTACACAGGGTCCCCCTGCGACTTTCATCAAAAATACCGCGTAAGTAGTTGACCAGATCGTGTTCGGCATTTTCGCTGTTCATGCAAGTTGCGGAATAGGCAATAACACAATTATGGACCTGCAGTCAACCGTTGAATCACGTTGAACGTTGAGTGTTGAATGCCGCACTTCAGTAATTAGTAGTACTGCACTGTAGATAGACAGGTAAGAGGATCCCACTAGATATTCGCGTATCACTCGAGCTATTGTAAAGTTAGAAAAATGAGTGCACGCGGTAGGACTTTAAGCTTGAGGAGGATGTGGAATCGGCCCGGGAGAGTGTTTGGCGTTGTTGCTCGGCACCTTCCGTTCTGCATCACAGCCCGCAAAGTTGGAAGTTCTCCTCATCCTCCAATCATGATCATCGTCCATCAAGTATGGCCAATGCCATTCTAAAGTCGTGCGGCGGCCGGGGGAGTAACGAGCTCTTCGCATACAACATCGATGTTTTGTCACTCCGAACGATTCTTTTACCACGGTGCAGACACGTCTCTACCTTATTAGGGCTACACATTCTGAAAACCTCCGAGAATGGCTATGAGGAAGCCGCGAACGACGTTGACCCACCCAAACTCCTCGATCTCATCCCTCATAGCCCTTCCTCGCCTTTTTCCCTTCCAAATTTGTACTTTTTCAGACCATCCCCGGAAGGTGCGGAGTGCTTGCGCTGAGACCGGCTTTGTTCATCGCCAGCATCTTGCCAGAAGATCGGCGCGCTTTCTGTAAAACCACACAAACAAGGTGCATCTCAACCGTGTGTCGTCGCATATCTATGCTCGATTCAACCCTATGATGAGCTCCGCTGATCAACCATACGGGTTCAACCTTAAGCGCTTAGCACCCAGCGTTTGCGTTCCCGTTTCGGATGCTGTACGAGGTGTCAAGGTTATTCCTCTCTCTGAAGTATTGATTGGTAGCCAGAGGATCAATGCTTTGTAGTTTCTGGATGGATATTGCGCTAGCCTCTGGCCATCTTCGAAATTCCGCCTTTACGCCAAATGGACTGACCCGCGCGCTTTATATTTCAGCAGATGTCCTCAGCCCTTTACTGGTCGACATCTGGTGCTTACCAGCTTCACGTTTCTCTCCACGCGGTGGTGGAACCTCCTTGCTCTTCATACTGTCGTGACTCGTTCCCCCATAAACATAGCGTTCTCGTCTTAAATATAGCATCTGTGGGCGTCATCTTCCACGAACCTCCGCGTTCACGCGGTCTTGGTCTCCGGTAAAGGGCTCAGCTCCTCACCGGTCACTACTGGCGCTTGAGATGACTCACCTTACAGTTCTTTCCACGTGCCGGGTGGCGGAACATCTTTGCTCTTCATTTCAATGCTATATCCCTGCGATGGACATGACATTCTTGATGTCTTCTTGCGTTTACACCAAAAGGAAGAACAGGCGTCCCTAGCTTTGGTAACCGGAAGCTGGAGATTCAAGTTGTCGATGCCCAAAACAAAATCCTTGGAGCAAAACAACCAGATACGATTATGGCCACAGCAAACCTTGATAGATAAGGGTGATGTAAAATTTATGATCTTGTGACAGTCCAATTTTTCAAGATTACATACGGGGCAATTCCGCTCACACTTTCGCCTCGCTAGTTCTTTTGCCAATCGGCGAGTCGGTCGCGAGCCTACAGCTTTCAAGTGATTGCCTGTCATGGTTGGCGCTCCGTGGGCTTCGCCGTAATTCTCTCCATGCATAGGCCCCTCAAAATAGTACGTCCGATCATTAGTGCGTCCGGTTTCAACTGCTGATCTGTTCTAGTTATGCAAACATGCAGGACACTTATGATTGAGTCATGCGTGACTCGGATACCTCTTAATGTTTTTAAGGATCTCTCAAGGTCCTTCAGCTGCAGTCGTACGACAGTCGACTTGACGCTAAAATATGTACTCGATCAGCCCATACCCAAATGAGCTTTTCAGCCTTTTGTCCTTCATCGCCTTCATATTGTGCTGTATACCGTTTCGCCTGCATTTACGCGGTAAGTTGAAGTCAACCCGAATTGCCGTACCCTTCAGCTAATTGTTCCATATTTTGCAGCAGGCCGCACATACTTGGTTCTGCCCATAACATGGATAGGCCTCTCCTGCTTAATTGCTTTCATCAATTCTATTATTTGGAACGGTAACATTATCAATTGGGCTCCCATTTGGTGTGATATCTGTATGTCTCCGTATTTATCCGCCACCATGGTACTTACGGTGTCGGGTAGCCACCAGACTGATGAACGGCGCCGTAGTCGCCATTCCATCGACTTCGTTTTGCATCACACGCCACCTATACCTCATCTCCCATGCTAGCCACGCAGCCTTTACTGGGAGAGAAAAACGCAACCAACGTATATTCGATCTTACAGTGGGGATCGGGGTTCCAATACTGCACATAATTCTTCGTACGTCTTTTGCTGACATTGCTTTTACAAAGTTGAACAGCCTGCAGAATATGTCGTTCAAAGCCACCGCTTTGATATATACGAGGATGTAGGGTGCCTAACTGACTATTCCATCGTCCCTTTCACCTTTCCGATCATTTATGGCATCGCCTCTCTTGTTGGCTTCGTCTCGGTGATCTACGGCGTCCTTACCGTTCGTACGCTTAGAAGGCGCCGTCGACGACTCAAGGATCTGCTGCAGCACCCTTCCGGCGACCCAAATGTTAATTCTAACCATTATATTCGCCTCATCTGTCTTGCAGCCGTGAACATAGTCGCGGAATTCGTCCTGACCTTATACATTTTCCTACTCATCGTCCCATCCTGGAACACTGACTGGATCCACTCCTGGAAAAGCTGGGCAGATACCCATCGTGGATTCTCTCACGTGGGTCAATTCCCTGTTTCAGTATGGCGCTCGTGGCATCGTTGCGCGATTGCCATTGATTCTGCAAGGTGGATATGCATATCTTGTGCATTCTCCTTCTTTTGTCTTTTTGGCTTCACAAAGGAGTGCATGGACCAGTATCGCTCTGTTTTCATGTGGCTTCGGACAAAGACTGGCTTCCTCCCTGCCTCGCAGCCTGACTGCACCGTCATTACTCCACTTCCGCAGTGCGTAACGTCGCTTTCACTCAGCGCTGTCTTTTTCGCTAAGTTTCTTATAGAGTAAGATTTAATCCTGCGCCGTCCGCAGACTCTCGACAGGAATTTTATTCGGGCCCGTCTCGAAGTAGGGTCATCACCTTGCCTGAAGCTGCGCTAATGCGGAGTTGAGCTCGGGTTGTGCCAACAAATTCATTGGACGATCTTTGATGCTTTTGAAACGACCCCGTTGGCAGTGTTGTATCCTAGGCCTGACGCTCCAATCATTTGTACTCCATTCTGTATGTTTACAACTATTTGAAAAGTACGCACCCTGTCATGTCATATTTTTTTCCGGCAGGCCTTACCTTGCGAGAGACATCCGTTAGGGGCCGTTTGAAAAGAGAGAGCATTGCAACAGGGATGATTCTCTAAGAGGTCGGATATTGCAAGGCGAAACTTTGTGGTGCTAGACAAAAGGTTTTTGTCTGACCAAAAATTACTAGAATTACAGTCCGAAGTGTGGTTGTCCCAGCTGCCGTTGATGTGAAGTTTACAATTCTGGACACTACTGTCGGCACCGCATTTGAACTTTGTCTTTGTCGGGAGTTTACTGGGTGACACGACCTGTTTTGTGATTTCGGACAAATCCCATTGTCTTTTTTTCCCAGTAAGTAACCGGACTACGTTGTCGGATTGACAAGAATACCCTTTTTTGTATATTGGAATATCGTCGTCAGGAATGAGATTCCGACCGAAAAGGAAATTCTAATCAGTCGTGTTTACCGTTGTTGTGTAACAGCTTCCAAGCAATCGTGGCTTTCCTCATCTTGACCACCACCATGGCGGCTACCGACCAACAGGTCGCGCTTTCAAGGCCGAACAGGCTAGCGGCAACGACCCACATGTCAAAAACAGCTCGTCAAATAGTTCCAGCTTTCCTCCAGAAACTTTACGAGTTGGGTGGAGTTTAGATCAGCGAAGCGGTGCTTATCTGACATCCTCGCTTTCAGAATGGTTAATGAGCCAAAAAACGCGGAATTAATATGTTGGTCAGTGGCAGGAGATACGTTCTTTGGTGTGTATTAAGATTCGTCTGAGACCATGCACATTGCTGATTGAAGTTAGTTTTGGACCACGAACGTTTCGCCCATGAAGTTTTGGGTCGGTGGTTCAAGCATCGCAACTTCAGCTCCTTCGTGCGCCAGCTGAACATGTACGGCTTCCACAAAATCCCCCACCTTCAGCAAGGTGTCCTCAAGAGCGACGACGACAAAGAGCACTGGAACTTTGTACACCCCAATTTCCGTCGCGACCAACCTGACCTCCTTTGCCTCATCCAACGCAAGAAGCAAATGCCACAACCCGGAGATGAGGGAGTCATTGATTTACGTGATGGCTCCAACACAAATACACAAGGAGCAGGAACTGCTACCGCTGCACCGGTTGGGGGTGCCACACTCTCGTCTGGACAGGTCCTTGACATCCATTCCATCGTGAATGGTATTGCGGCTATCAAGCGCCACCAAACGACGATTTCCGCAGAGTTGAATGAGCTCAAACGTTCAAATCAGCTCCTCTGGCAAGATGCAATGGCTGCGAGATCAAAACACCAGAAACAACATGACACCATCAACCGCATTGTCAAGTTCCTTGCGGGCATCTTTGGAAATCATGCTACTGGTCATCATAAAGATGACATCGTCGAGGATGCAGATCAGCAAGCTGTTATTCCACGGCGGATACATCGGTTAATGATTGAGGACGCTAAGAAGGATGGGATGGGGAAGCAGGCTTTCATGGGGGATATGGATGCACATTCAACCATGTACTTGGTTCCAGACCCACCCGCCACGACCCGTGAGTCTTCTCAACGATAGTTGAACAGCTTTATTAATAGTCGAACAGCAGGTGATATGACGGTCGAGACGCCCAACTCTGCCCCATCTCCGGCGCTCTCCACAACACAATCAGACGCCGGCACATTCTCAAACAATAGCACCCCCTCCTACTTCAATCATTCCCCCGCCAATCAATACTCAGCTTCTGTGACCCCCACGCAGGAAACAACCTCCACTGTTGGGGAACATCAACCTAACCAACCGCAACAGCACCAGCAAGAGGGCCAATCTATCGAGGGCGCCGTTACCCCATCCCGTCTCACCTCCCCTCAGCCCCGTTTCGCCGTTCAAGATGTCCTCAACCAATTCACTCCATACCAACTCCAACAATTCTTCGCATCTCTCAACTCTCAGCCACCTATGCCCACTTCGTCCGACCATGAAACCTCCTCACATCACTTGACGCCATACCAACCCCCCGCATTTGATTTCTCAACTATGGGAACTCCTCCAAGCCTGCAAACCCAACAGGCGCCGCCACCTTCAGAAATGGTCGCGTTTGACCCATACGATCCCTCACCCCAGCGACAAGACATGGAGCGCCAATGGCAACAGGCGGATGACATCGACAAGGATGTGAACACTCTCAACTCGTCCATTAATTCGCTAATTCAAGTTCTCGGGCTTGATCCTGCCCTTTTGAACCGTGAGGGAGAGGACGCAAAGAGTAACATAGACAATGTGGGCGCTACCCATGATGGTCAGCATGACATGGTGGGCATACACACCGATCCAACGTCAGAAGCGCCTGCGACGGCACCTACCGATTTTGATTTCGACACGTTCTTCAATAATCTCTCGTCGTCTGCGGATGTGCGCACGGATGATTCCGTTGATTATGGAGATATAGCATCCACGGCGTTCCTTGACGAGGTCCCGTCTCCTTCCGATAGTCACCCGTCTCCCATGGAAGGGCTGAGACACATTTCACCTGAAGTTGGCGTGGCTGCTGCTGCGCTGAATGCCGCAAACGATGCCAATAACTTCCCAACTACTACCACGACTACACGAAAGCGGAAGTCGGATGCTGGAATTGGGTTACAGTTCGGGGAGATGAACGATGGCGCTGGTAGTTATGGCTCAGGAGGTAGCAGGTTAAAACGGAAGAAAGATAAATGAGGATCCAGGCGTTCGCGTTCTAAAGGAAACAAAATCCGATTGCACCCGAATGGCGAAGAAAACCCGCAACAGAAACCAGAAGAATCTACAACAGATGTAAGGAAGATACCGGACTACCTCGATTATATGGTAACCCTCAACTAATGAACGACGTTCCTTATCGGCTTCCTCTCTCTCCCGGTTGGGTTTTGCTATCCAACCACTTTTCATTTTTGATGCGCACTTGTAAAACAAATCCTTGTAACACCACTAACTAAAGTACCCGTGTAGCAGCAAATTCCTTGTATACAGTATATCAACTCGAGCATCACAATCATATATCTCCCCTGCAGCTCTACTTGGCTGCAAGTAGGGAAGTTGATATTTCGAATGAACAAAACAACGAGCAGATGTGTTGTTTTATCTTGACCGTAACCAAACCGTAATTTCATGAAGATACCGCGACATTTCCACAACGTTTACACAATTATCTATTTTCCTTAATTTATACAACATTAGACGGGGCAAAGTAGTATACTTAAGTCTGGTCCGGTATAGTTTTCTAACAGTTTTAGTGTTTACTTAGTGTCAGTTTCCCAGAGGTATACCAAACAAAATTATTGAAACATGGACTCAGCCGTCCGTTATATCAGTTGTGTCCCTTTCTTTTTAGCGACAAAGTAGCGGGAGGCGGCATAGCTGAAGCTTGCGATTACCAGAGAAATCTGAGGCCAGGGGAAGTGACACGATAAGCAACATTTCAAAAAGAATTGCCAAAAAGGACGCACTCCTGCAAACAAAATTGCACGCTTCCAGTGATGCTGGCTGGTTAACAGCGCTCCAGCGATGGGAGTTGCTGTTGCTCGTCATCAGATGGGCTTCACAGGCGTGAAGAAACCTCTTACCGAATAAACCAAGTATCCCTGGACCAGGGATATTTTAATCAGTCATTGTAAGGTGCAATGAGCAAAGCCCTACGCACCTCCGATTCCAAACAATATCCCCATACGTGCTCCGATTTCGCTCATATCTTTCGAGAGTAGCCCTAGATCAAATTTGGATTAGACGCCAAGCCGCTGCGTATCACTGAATGGCTGCGTACCAACCACAGGAGCGAGGAGCGCTATGGCTGTTTTGAGCGAAAAATGAAAATGATAATTGATGTCAGGAAAGATGATGAGCAAGCCAGCGTTGTAGGATTGTACCTCCACCAGAGAATAGCCCGTAGAATACTGCGAAAATAAGGGTGCTTGCGGTATCGTGGACGCCAAACATGGAGAGCGTTACGACGGCAGTGCCCATACTGAAAAGTACGAGGAGGTTGAAGACCCCAAACTTGTGTGCCAAACCGCCAGGAATGATCCGGCCAATGAAGCTGGCCGCGCTCAACACAGAAAGCTACATGTGACTAATTAGCGTATGTTGATGAGCAAATAGAACAAAAGTCACCCACAGAATAAAACGCAGCATTATTGTCCACTCCATGTAAAACTGCATCAAGCTGCAAATAGAACACAGGGAAAAAAAGGCCTAGAAAAGTCCAACAGCCTCTAAAAATCCACCATTCAGACCAAAATTGACATGGAACGGGAAAATTGTTCACATACGCCACAAGGATCGCGAAGTACCCGGGTTCTTTTAACCATTCCAAGACAGGGAAATGTTTTAATTCTCGTGGGGGGAGCCGGGTTTGCATGAGCAAACACGCGATGACAAGAAGACAGGTGTTCATAGCTGCGCTGATGCGAACGCCATTATGAAATCCAACTGGCCCGTTAAAGAGGCGATTCAAAACCTTCCTTGGACCTGAACCACGTGGCACCCCGACTAGGACCCCAAAAATTTTTGGGCGACTCGTCGACTGCAACACGCATTCTGGCCTACATACAGCTTTCAAAAAACTTTTATATTATTACCAAACCAGCTAATAACAACCTCAGAGCATGTCTGGGACCGGGCAGAAGCCCAAAAGTCAGGCGGCTCCGCCACAAAAAGGTAAAGTGACGACCACTCGACAAACTCGACCAATCGACACAGAAGTACAGGAACGAGGAAAGACGAGAGCCACCGGGGCGGTGGAGACAGATGAAGACGAACACGAAATCGGTGACTCAGAGAAAGGGAGATCTTTCCTCGAGGGAAGGCTGCTCATGGTTCCGGCAGGGGCACTGCTCACTTTGGGTGCACTCGCCACGACGCTCTTCCAGATCGCGGCCATGCCGGGCGTTGCCCTCCCTGCGGTTAACGCAGTACGCGCGGTCACTTTTTTGTTGAGAGACGTCGAACTGGAGGTAGTGGCGGAAGACATTAGGGATATCGCCAACACTCAGCTCAACGAGTTGACCAACGACTTGAAGACGTTCACGGAGGTGCTCACAGAGAAGGTTATGGAGGAACTGGAGAAGAAGACGGAGGTGTTGAAAGAAAAGACAGTGGAATTAGCAGCGGTGGTCGAAAAAGCGGCACAACAGGCAGGGAACACAGCCAGCTCCCCATACAGGGACGCGTTGACAAGGACGGCCTCTGGAGCCCCAATGGATGCTAACCCTCGTCTAGCTGCGAAGGAGAACATCAGGCAACGACAATCTCTAATCAACCTACCCAAGGGATCAAGCCTCAGCAACTGCGCCAATCTGGCTCTGGTGGGCAAGTTCGCAGAGGCAATGGGAAGGGCGACAGGACAACAGCACAAAATTAGGTCGGCTTTGAAGCTACAAAACGGCGGCATATTGGTAGAAATGGTCACAGACGACGGCGCGGCCTGGCTGGCCTCCAAGGCCAACGCAGAGGCCTTCCTGCAGGAGCTAGGGGAGACAGAAGCCTCTTTCAAGACGAGGTCGTTCAATGTCGTCGCCTACTACGTGCCGCTGAACCTGGATGCTAACAGTGAAAAGGACAGGGGGGAGATTGAAGAAATGAACAACATACCGAAGGGTGCGCTGACAAAACTGAGGTGGATCAAGCCCCCAGCACGAAGACGACCAGACCAACGTTTCGCCCACGTAATTGCCACATTCTCGGACGCGGAATCGGCCAATCGGGCGATAGTCAACGGTCTGTCAATATGTCACAAGAGGGTCTCGGTAGCGAAGTGCAAGAAGGAGCCCATAAGGTGCCTCAAGTGTCAAGGTTGGGACCATATCGCTCTGGAATGCATCATCGCAAAGGAGGTGAATGTATGCAGTACATGTGGGGGGGATCATTGGATGAGTAAGTGCTCAGCGCAAGACGTTACTTACTGTAAGTCTTGCAGGACGCACTCTCATACAAGCTGGGACCGCGGCTGTCCAACTCTCCTCCGGAAGATAGATGAACTCAACGCCAGGGATCCGGCCAACGATCTACCCTTTTTCCCAGCAAAGGAATTGTGGACATGGGCTCCATCCTACCCATCCTACGGCCGCCGAGTACCACAGGCTGAGATTCATGTTAATACGGTACAACCAGGCTCACAGAAAGACAGGTACAGGCAAACTCAACTGGGTTTCGAGCCCGCGGCCCCAAGTGGAAGACCGTACACCAGGGATTCACGGGCACGTCAGCAATCGAAGACCCCAGCGGATAAGTCTCCCCCTCCTGTTTTTCCTAACCCAGAATCCCCTATAGCTCCCCCGGCCTCAAGCAATGGCTCGCCGCCCCCTGACAGTTCCACCACCCAAGTCATTGCCCATGTCTGAACAACTGCAACAATCGCCAACTAGGTTACGGATATTACAGATCAATTTAAACAAGTCATCGAAGGCCCACCTGGAGCTATACAATAAAGTGTTGAGAAAGGACTGGGATATCGTCATGGTACAAGAGCCTCATGTGACGGCCATGGGCAACATCAGGACGCCCAACGGATACGTGGTGGTCATACCAGTGGACCGATACAAGGACGACGCACCAACCACAAGATCGATAATGTGGGTCAGCTCCGACCTGGCGACCAGTTCATGGAAGATCCTCAACATCCCCGGCACAAACGACATCACGGCTATTCAACTAACTGGCTTATACGGACGCCTGACCATCCTCAATATATACAACGACTGCACGCATTCAAGAACCCTTCGACTAACACGCGAATACCTACGCACAAACTGGGCAGAGCTTCTATCCAGGGCAGACGACCAACTAATACTCGCAGGCGACTTCAACAGGCACCATCCCATGTGGGACGACGAAATGGATGACAGACTCTTCACGCCTGCGGCACTGGAGGAGGCGGGGAAGCTAATCGAGCTGCTAGCTGACCTTAATTTAAAGATGGCCCTTCCAAAGGGGCAGCCGACCCTTGAACACATGGTCACCAAGAAATTTTCCTGCCCTGACAACTTCTGGTGCACGGAAGACATCTATGACCTGATCATTCGATGCGAGGTCGACCTGTCGCTCAGGCCACCAGCGACGGACCATTTCCCCATAGCAACTTACATTACCCTTCCACAGGAATGCATAGCTCCAAAGATATCATACAACTTCCGGGCTGTCGACTGGGACGACTTTCAAGAAAACTTGGCCGACCGACTGCTTGAGCTACCACCCCCTCAGATACTTCGAACGAAGCAGCAATTCAAGGAAGCTGCGGAAGAGCTAACGGCGGCGATACAAGACACTATCCGCACCAGGGTTCCAATGAACAAGCCATGTCCCTTTTCGAAAAGGTGGTGGAATAACGACTTAAGTCGACAAAAGACGAATATGAAGAAGCTAAGTCGTCTAGCCTACAGATACAGAGCCTCGCCAGATCACGAATCTCATACAGAGATACGAAAGGCGAGGAATGAGTACGGGGAGGCGATCATAGAGGCGAAGCGCAGGCACTGGGAGGAGTTCCTTGAGAATGCCTCTGAGCAGGACTTATGGACGGCAAATCGATACTTCAAAGAGCCGATAGGAGACGGGGGCAAGTCAAGGATCCCAACCCTTAAGGTAACCGACGAAGGCGCCAATGGGATTACTCAGGAAGTCAACACCAACGACGGCAAGGCCAAGGTTTTGGCACAGATCTTTTTTCCCAAGAAACCAGATATATCCAGGACACCGGACGACTATGAATACCCAGAACCGCTCCCACCACCACCGCCTATCACACCGGAGCAGATAACACGCCAAATCAAAAGACTCTCGCCATTCAAAGCATGCGGCCCAGATGAAATACCGAACGTGGTACTCCAGAGGTGCCTTGGACAGTTGTTGGACTACCTGGTTCACCTGTTTCGAGGCATCTTCGCGCTGAGAACTTACTTCAAAGGGTGGCAGGAATTCACGACAGCCGTACTGAGGAAGCCAGGAAAGCCAAACTACGAGGTGCCAAAGGCGTACCGACCTATAGCGTTATTGTGCACGATTCCAAAGGTACTAACAGCCATCGTTGCGGAGGACATAGGTCACCTGGTGGAGAAGAACACGCTACTGCCAGATACCCACTTCGGAGGACGCCCAGGCCGCACCACGACCGACGCCATCCACTACTTAGTGGGGAAGATCAAGTCTGCCTGGGGTAAGAAGAAGGTCGCCTCGATATTGTTCTTAGATGTTGAGGGGGCCTTCCCGAATGCAGTCACTGACAGGCTCATTCACAACCTGAAGAAACGCCGGATACCAACGACATACGTCAAGTTCATTGAACGGCTACTAAAGGGCAGGAAAACAAGACTGAAGTTCGACGACTTTATCTCCGAGCTCATCGAAATCACCAACGGCATAGGACAGGGAGATCCTATCTCTATGCTATTGTATATCCTGTACAACGCTGACCTCTTAGAGGCCCTGAGAAGGCTGGAGGAAGATGCAATCGGGTATGTGGACGACGCCCTGGTAATAGCGACAGCGAAGACATTCAAGGGTTCGACGCGCGCGCTCAAGAACTTCATGGAGAGGAGGAATGGAGGCCTCGACTGGGCTCTAGATCACAACTCAAGATTCGAAATCAGCAAGGTGGCCGTCATGCACTGTCAGCCTGGACCAAGGAAGCCCACAGACCGTCCGAACCCAGCGCTTTGCCTGGAGGGGAGGGTAATCAAGGAAGTGGAGAGCTACAAATACCTCGGAGTCCATATTGACTACCAGCTGAGATGGAAGATCCAAGAGAACGAAGCTATGGCTAAGGCTACAGCTTACATTCTGATGTTTCGTAGGCTAACACGTACCAGCTTAGGTATCCGGCCCAGGCTCATGAGACAGCTCTACATCTCAGTAGCGGTCCCCAAGATGACGTACACCCTAGATGTTTGGTTTGTACCTCCGTACAAGAAGGAAGGCAAACAGAACAACAGTGGGTCAGTCAGGGCCCTGAAGTCAATGGGTAAGATACAACGCATAGCCGCTCTGGCCATCACTGGTGGACTACGGACATCCGCTAACGATCTCCTGGATGCTCATGCCGGGATATTGCCAGCTAACCTTATGCTAGAACGTATATGCTACGCGGCGATGGTACGAGCAGCATCCCTCCCGGTTGGACACCCTACCCGGGCGATGATACGAGGATACAGCAATGCTCCAGCAAGAACACACCTCACTCCTATTCAAAAGCTAATAGAGCGCTACAAGATAAAGCCGCAACTATACGAAACCATACAGCCAGAACCTCGACCACCAACATACCATAGCACCTTTACCACGACAATTGCAGACACGAAGGAGGATTCAATTAAGGAGGAGAAGAACGACAACTCAGACATCAAGATATTTACGGACGGGTCGGGCTACGAAGGAAAGGTTGGTGCGGCAGCGGTGATGTACAGGAAAGGGATGGAGGAGCCAGAGAAGATCCTGTGATTCCACCTAGGATCGATCAAGCAACACACCACGTTCGAGGGCGAGACAGTAGGGTCGATACTAGCAGCGTGGATGCTGCAGGGGAGACCAGAGGTGGGGAAGGCAAAGGTGACGACTTACTCGGACAGTCAGGCGTTTATCAAGGCAACGGGAGCGAGGAACTCAGGGCCAGGACAGTACCTGGTCCTGGAATACATGAGACTAACGGAGAATATGAATGACGGTACTAACGGACTTCACACCGCAGGTACTGCCAAGTTCGCTTTGAGGTGGATAGCGGCGCACAAGGGAGTCACTGGAAATGAGAGGGTGGATGAGGAGGCAAAGAGGGCGGCACAGGGGGAGTCGAGTCCACCAGAGGAGCTACCGCCAATCCTTCAGAAACTGTTGCCCATCAGCGTGGCGGCAGCAAAGCAAGAGTTCGCGGACGGCCAGAAGATCAAATGGCTCGAGCTGTGGAAGGCCTCGCCTCGTTTCGCAAGATTTCAGCATATCGACCGGGCTTTCCCCTTCAATAAGTTTCGAAAAATCAGCAACGCTCTCTCACGATCGCAGTCCAGCTTACTCATACAGCTCCGGACAGGACACATACCACTTAACAGCTACTTACACCGCATTAACAGGTCAGACCACAGGCGTTGCGCTAGTTGCTGGGAGGCTGGCCGTGGGACAATTACAGAGACGACCATCCACTATCTTTTCGAATGCCAGACATACGCAGCCGAACGCTTCGACATGGACAGGGCATTGGGCCGGCGCTCGAGGGATTTACAGGGGATCATGACGGATATGGATGGCATAAAGGAGTTGCTCAAGTATGTGGGGAGGACCGCTAGGTTCAAAGCAACGCTTGGCGACGCACTAGGTGATGTAACCCACTTAGAGTCCGAGGAAGTTTGACAGATAACATCGTCTCTTTCTTGCAGGAAGCCTTACATCAGTCAAGACCCGACAGCAGAGTTGGCTACGGCCAGCAGGTTCGCCCACAAAATTTCACCCCCCTTTTTTCTCATTACGCACCTCTCAGCCTTCGGACCCTAAGCACAAGATATAACAAGACGAGACCACTAGCTCTAACGGATGAAACATGACACGCGACAAAACACACAAATTCTCTTTTTTCTCTACCTAACACGCTCGTCCCTATGGCTGTACCTGTCGCTTGCGATCGGGTACTTGGAAGACCAAACGTTCAACAGAAGGAATGCAACATATAGAGAAACAAAGTAACTACCCCGCCCACGTTAACGGATGCCCCTCTAAACGGCGTTTCCGTGCCGGGCTGGATGGGGGAATGATCGCCATGGGCGTGCCTCCACCAGTGCATGAGGGGATCTCCAGGGGGTTAGGTATAAACGGCACTAGGGGCCATAGGTAGTTTACTAGGATGTAACGTCTGACATGGGGCTCTGCCCCGATGGACTATAAACTTGACTCCAAAAAAAAAAAAAAAAAAAATAAAAAAAATAAAAAAAAAAAAGAGGCAATTCAACATGATCGGGTGGATAATAGCACCTGCAGGAAACTAAGTAAGATTACGGTAACCCAGTGTCAACACCCTCACCAAGAGCAGCGCCAGAAGACACAATGCCCATGGCTAGAGGTCGTCGTCGGTGGAAATAGTGGGAGGCGATTCCCAAACCTAGACTGAAGTCAGAGAATTTAAGAATTGTTGAGCCCAAATCTTACTTGGAACGTAAGACAAACCACTCGCCAGCCCCAGTGCTACCCCGTGAGTCAAAAAAACCTGTGAAAGCGCTCGTCGCAAATGTTGGAGAAGAAATGGAAATAGTCTGGGATTACCTGATAGTACGAATTTTTGTGCGATAATGACAACATGAAAACTGTGGTTCAAAGAGTCAGAGCGACATAAAGAGAAAAAACACTAACGTGCAAGGGAGTAAAATATAAGACCAGAAACCATGAGGTGGCGGCTGTTGGAATAATAATAAGCAATCCAACTTAAACAAGTCATTCGGATGTCTCCTACAAATAACCTCTGTCAAAGGCTCGGCCGACAATGATACCCAAAGAGAAATTCAAAAAAATCTGAGTTCCCCCTATCCATCTACATAACATATTAGCCAGAGGTCCCATGTGGGGGGTGAGAGTACCCACCCTATGGTGCTGGGACTGTAGTCTGAAAGGTATTCGCGAACATAAAGGTCTTGATATGCACCAAACGAATTAATGTAGCTATGAAGGAAAGGAATTACATATAAAAAAGATGGTAAGAATGAGGCAGGAAACGCACCCAAATGTTGTGAATTGAACAAGTACTCTGCAGATGTACCATTAGCTTAACGGAGATTTCTGTTTTTCCCGTCCCAACATCATTACTTACGCGCCGCAGATAGTCAACCATCCTCGTGTTCCGCCTTCAGGGAATAATTCAACTTTACTAGAAGAGGGCGTGTCTTCAGGTTCAAGAACAGCAACTTCCTGGCTGACCGAACCCTTCTCTGTGTCCGAGTTGTCCAGTGAGTCGGTCAATGGCAGGGAATTCGACATAATCGTTTCTGATCAGACTGTTCTTCTGCCTTCCTTACAAGCGGGCTTTATATCTGAATGACAGCATGAAGGCTTCTCGCCCTTCGGGGATCCTCCACAAGGCAGAGTCATCACCGAGGTTTGTAGGTGGTGGTACACAGAGTAGGCTGACCTTGATTTACAACCAAACATGGACACCGTTGCCGGCACATGCCGAGTAAGCTGACTCCGAGTCTTGCCTCGGCCTCGGACTCAAAGTACGCACTGTAAACAAAAAGCAAGGAAAGTGATTTGGAATTCCTCAGAATGACTTGGAGAAGCCTCGTGTTTTTGTTTGAAGTATTGCAGAAAATTCTCATTGGTGCCAGCTTCAAATTTCGAACCATTAGCCTGCAAGCCATTTTCCTGCGCTTCTAGACTCCTGAAATTTGAAATCCCACATTCATCTCGACTGGGATATGTATTCTATAAATAAATGCTCGTAAGAAATAGACGCATGTGGACGGTTGATTCTTATCATATCCGCCATGTTTCGTTCCTGGAACACCGGCCCATCAGGCCTCAGGCATAAGCACTTCATACTAATTCGGAGAGTCGGTAATGTACACCCAAATGGATCTGCAGAGATCCGACGCAGCTTTGGCCACAAAATCGCGGAGGCACCTCCCTCACATTAATATTATGTGGTAGAATTCTCGGTCACGCAGTGTTGTCATAGAACACTCTTGAAATTTAAGCGCGAGGATATAAGCGAAGAATATTTTGATATCATTTTTGATTGGGTGTTGACTAGGTGTAGACCAGAACCTAGGCTCTGTTGTTAATTCGCGGCGCATAATCTGCCTTAGGTTCGGGGCGTGGTGCTATATATGTAGATCTGGAGGAATGTAAGTGAACCACATAGTGTATATATCCGTAGCGGCTGGTCTCGGGACAAACCATTTTGAAGTGATGTTTTACTTGCATTGGATGCCTTTCTGACTTGAGCTCGCCATCCAGGTTATGACGTCGTTTGCCAAACGGATTCCAACGGTCGAGCAGCAAGGGAAGCGTGCAGTGAAGAAATGGAAGTGAGAAGTTGGAGAGAAGATTGTTGCCGGGAGCTGGCATCATAGTGGCTTGCGGCGGGAGGGTAAGTAATGCCGACCCAGCCTCCTACCCATTCGTTGCACCGTGGTTGAGTCATCTGAGGGGTGAACGCAATGTTTTATCTAAGTGATTTAGGTAGATTAGTAATACTGATAAGAATGATCCGAGATAACACCGACAACTTTAAACTGCTCAACCACTGTGCAACGCCTGGCACAAAACATTTGTAAACAAATGGTGCCACACTTGGGCAACACGCTACCCAAGCGCTATTACTCACCACCACCACAAAGCTTCCTCGTGAATACTCCAAGCATACCTAATAAATTGCATTTGACAATTTGAAAAGCTCTGGAGGTTGAAATATATTCGGTTGATGAAGAAGTTAGTGCATATACTTGTAATTGAAATTTATTGAATGGGTGGCCAGATGTATTTGTGAATCTTGTCTGCAGTCAGGTATCAGTGAAATGAATCTTTTTAAGTCAGTATTTAAAAAATGACCCCAGAAGTTTGGTTTATTGTCTTTCCTGCTACATAAATTGTCTTTGGTCATCAGGTCAATTTTAGATGTACTACAATCATATGGACATCCGTTAAAATTCAAACTAAAACTTCCTGTTCACAATATAACTTATTGGGTATGCTTGGAGTATTCACGAGGAAGCTTTGTGGTGGTGGTGAGTAATAGCGCTTGGGTAGCACATTGCCCAAGCGTGCTGACATAACTTGAATGCAACGTGTTTTGAGACTCCGCGCTGTGGCACCATTTGTTTACAAATGTTTTGTGCCAGGCGTTGCACAGTGGTTGAGCAGTTCCAATAGCACTTAAGCTTGGTGGCGTGCGCCCGACTCCGACATGTTTCCACTCGAGGTATGGCATACATACATGGACATGTAACTAATAGGCAGTGGGTGGGTGGGTGACGAAAATGAGAAAACAGCTTAAACTAAAGAGAGGTTGTGAGCTATTTCAACGAGAGCCTTACAAAAATGAAATGGGAATCGCACCTAGCTGAGGGAGTGAGATGTTGAAACGAGAGCCTTACAGAAAGGGGCGTTTCATCTCACTCCTCAACTGGTGGTGCGAGTCTAAAATAAGCTGTGATCCAAGCGTGGATCGTGAAGCTCGAGTCCAAGCGTGGATGTAGAGTTTGCCAGCGGGCAATTGAGCAGCGGCTCATAGTCGCATGTTGGCGAACGTGACGACTATATTGTATGCGTGTAACTCAAGCTTTGGTCAGTGCTTATTGGACTTGAGTAAACATAGTTTAAACTCGATAAAGTTGTCGGTGTTATCTCGGATCATTCTTATCAGTATTACTAATCTACCTAAATCACTTAGATAAAACATTGCATTCACCCCTCAGATGACTCAACCACGGCGCAACAAATGGGTAGGAGGCTGATGCCGACCTGGAGTTATAGCCATTGTGTGCCCTTCTTCCGAACTCTCAGGAACCTCGTGGCAGTGAAGCACAAAGCGCTGATAAGAACACAGAGACTGGGAAGGAGAATCGGACGCCACCATACAAATGATGGCGACAACAATGCTCCAGCTATCGGAGTACCTTCATTACCACATTAGCTTTGAAGCAGAAAAGTTGTACAAAGGGTGTTCACCGACAAGGCCGCCTAACCCTATTTTTAACGGATGTAAGTTTTAAATCAATGTCGGCGAATGCAGTGACTCACCAGTGAATGTAAAACAGACTCCCAATCTCGCGCCCATTTCGCCATCGTTTTTAGCGAGGGAACTCACCATCGGCGGAAGCATGCTGGCATCTAGGAATGCATGGTCAGCATGGTCAAGCAGACAGCGATGCGTAAACTCACATGCTCCAGAGAAGAAACCGTAAAGAACAGCGAATATCAATGTACCAATAGCAGTATTCACTGCAAGGGTACAAATGACCAAAATCGCGGCAATAAATACGCAGGGTATGATCACGTTGTAGACACCGAAACGATATACAAATAGGTTTGGGACAATGCGTCCTGCAGCGCTACCTGCATTCATTATCATGATCTGCGTCAAGTTATTAAGAAGGTGAGCTCATAGTTAGCAGGGAGACGCCGCTTAAAGTGTAGAACACCAAACCAGGTTTGACACCACTTTTAATCACATTCAGTTGTATGAAAAAAAAAAGGGGAAGTAGAGACTTGAAGGGTAGATGTCATCCTGAAAACAATCAGAAAAGTAACATGAAAGGAGGATGTAGCCTCACCCAATGATCGTGATGGTATAGGGGATATCTCTCAAGAAGATGCGCAAGTCCTTGTATGTACTGCTTTCTTTTCTAGAGGTGGGGGGAAGTCGGGGCTTCACCAGGGCTTCATGAGGCAGATCGCAATTATCAAGAGCATGGCATTCAATCTAACACTTGCCCAGACTCCGGAATGAAATCTTCAGACTGCAACCGTGCGAAGAAGGACAAGAAGTATAAGCAGTCCAAGACAGACAGTGGTGACTCAGGCGAGCGCAGGAGCCAAGGCAAAGCTGCCATAGCTCTCCCCCACTATGACATTTCCTTAAAAAGAAGGTATGACAAATCTACAAAGAATGGTAAGCCATAGTTTATGCCGCACATAATTTATAAATGGTGGAATGGTGCAGTGGTTAAGTATATTGTGGTTATTTAGTCATGTGATTGATCCTTCTAAGGATGTGGGTTCAATTCCGTTCTAGTGAAATTATTTTCTGCTGCACTTGCGGAATTGTCTTTTATTTTTTACTTATACACCAGGGTAAAAGGTTGGAAAGGGTTAGGTTAGGAATATTTTTTTTCTCTGTGCAGTAGCACACTCTCAGTTAGGTCAGGAAGTTAGGTTAATATTTGGTTGGGGTTATCACCATGGTAGAAACCGGTGTTTCAGTGATGGACACACCTGCTCATTCTTAATTAGATTAGGAGGGTAGGGTACTTTACTATAGTTTAGGGGTTAGGAGGGTAGAAGCTTGAGAGAGCACACTAGTAGCGCGCACTCTCGAGCTTCAGACTTAGTGCAATGCATTGCTCTAAGTGACTAAGTCGTGAGCCAATGTAAAATGGATCCGCGAGTCCCACGAGGAAAGGCTCACTTCGCACAACTAGTTTGTTGCACTCAAGTTTTTTAGACCTTTGAATAGTATGACTGTGACGACAGTTCCCACTGCTGTGGCCTGGGTCGAGGTGGCCAAAGTCGCGTTAACGAGGATTAACGCGACTCTGTCCTGACTTTGAAAATGAATGCTAGGGGGGGAAACAACTAAAAAAAAACATGTAATAAGACATCCAAGATGTGTAAATGACTCTGATGCAAATGTTTGAACAGTCTAGCTCTTCTTATGCCGTTTCAGAAGATTGTTGAAAATGCCACCTAAGTTTGAGGGTTGATTGAACATGCAATACATAAGACAAGGTGCATTTTTTTGTGATAGGTGTGTAAAGGTATACTCCATGAACATACTTGCCAAGTTTCATCTGAATAGTTCCAGAAATGCATGAGATATCCTTGAAACACTCTTTTTCCCTGCCAAAAGTTTCGACCTTTGTGAATGGAAAATTTTTACTTGTTTGTCCGGACTTTCAGCACTTTAGTGAAGGAATGCTCGCTTCGCTCGCAACCATATATGGAAGGTCAGTGATTACCGGTACATCACATGTGTCATAGTGGGGGAGAGCAAGGGCAGTTGCCAAGGCAAGTTCAAGTTGTGTGTCCCTGTATATTTGTGGGGGTGATGTCCAGCGATCGAAAGCAGTGACGATGATGCTGAGGCCAAGCTGAGCCAGGCTGAGCCACTCATCATCACAACTCGGTCGAGGCCAACCACGTCCATGAAGAAGGCCGTGACAACATCTGAGCATAAGACCAAGGTATTTCTATTTTACTTAACTTGCAATCCTTCTCAATTGACGCACATATGTTCAGAACTCGAAAGACAAGTCTTATCACAGCAAAAAACAAGACAATGACACTGAGGCTACTTCTGGCTCTGATTCTACAAAGTCCTCGACCTCTAACGACGACAATTCTGACAATTCTACAAGCTCATCGGAGGATTCGCTTGAAGGTGTACCAGAAATCGATCTAACGAAGATCTTTGGCACTGAGGTATGCCTCTTAGCTTTCATTGCCTGTCAGACTGCTCACTATTCTTGAATCTCAGCGCCCTCATATCATTGGAGATGAAGAATCATCCTTCCTGGATGATGGTACACTCTTCGACCTCGACGACCAGGATGTTGAAATGGCATCACGCCATTCTCAACCTTCTTCTGCTGCAGGTGACTTACCTCCTCCATTGACTGACTCTGATGGACTCTCTGGGGCTGATAAGCTAGCTGAAGATGAAGATGATGAGTTATATCACCTCAAGCTGATGATGGACAAGCAAAAGAAAAAGGTCTGTTTGCTTTCCTCAACCTCGACTTGTATGCTCACTCCCCTCACATACAGAGCCAAGGGAAAGGAAATGCGAAGAAGAGCAGGCGACAGGTATGTCCATCATGCAACCTTCGCCACTGATGGTCATGACCTCCACACACAGGCCAGGGAGGAGGACGGTGAAGATGCAGAGGCTTCTGAAGTCCCGGATATCGAAGTAAAGGCGAAGCCCACTAAGAAAAAGGTATCTTTGCCCTCTCTTCCACATCGACCACGATGCTCATTGCCCATGATGGCTCAAAGGGCCGCCGTGATACGGCGTTTTATGCTGATTCTAATTTCTCTATCCTCTCCAGCAACCGACGATTGGGACGTCGCGCCCTGCCGTCATCAAGAAAGAACCGGGATCATGAAAGAAGAAGGATCATGGGCTTCAGTCAGCTTCCACAGCCTTCGACATTGTGCCACCGCCACCTGGGGTGAAGGATGTTCGACTCAATGACCAGCATGACACTGTGCAGGCAATCATTTGGGCTGAGATTGCTCAAGCGACGAAGGACGTCTTCCTGCGGGACTCGTGGGTTAAAGCTAATGAGCGAATGACTTATCGCACGAACCTCATCAAGGACGCTTGCGACAAGGTGAAGAAGCAGTACCCTGGTGCTAAAGAGGTCCGAAAACATGTGAAGGATGACGAGAAATATGCCAAAGAGCTCAGCAAGCTGGTAAGTCGGTCATACTCTTTGACTTCCATACTCACCGATACAATGTCAGATGCTCAATCGCCTTTCGAACGTTCATTCTCTCTAGTCAAGGTAGCAGGTGCTCATCAACTCCCCGTCTTCAAACTTGGAAAGGATCCGGAATGTCTCGCACACGTCAAATCCCTTACCAAGGAACGTCTCTACATTTTCCCTGGCACATGGGGTGGAGAAGATAACAACATAAGGACCTGCTCCCCTTTGAAACACTCGATGGCAATGTCTAACACCATGTGTTTAGACATGGGTTCCAAAGGCAGACAGCGCATATCGAACGAGGCCATCTCTGATGGTCTGAAGGAGAGTTTTTTTGCGAATCCTCGGGCCATTGGCTTTCAGTATCTCTCTGATTATGTCTCCAGCCTCGAGGGCCACATGGAGAAAGAGTTGCCCATTTCCATGATTGCTCTCTACGCTACTGGTGTAAGTCTCTCATCTTCGCACAACTGCATCCACTAACATTCTGTGAAGCTTTTTGCTTCGTTATATGAATTCCAGACTGGAGTTTACTGTCAAGCAAGTTTGAGGGAAATGTCTTTCAATTGGTCTATCGCCATCATTGCGGCGTGCTGGAGCAGTGGAAGAAGAACAAACCTCAACGTGTCAAAGCTGTATGACAGCGTCGTGTAAGTGACATCTATCTCAAAGTTGATCTATCTGATGGTCCTTTGCCAGTTGGTTTTCCCTTATGCTAGTGATCCGTGCCAGAACCAAGGCTAGATATCAGCTCTTGGAGAAAGCTGTGAGGTTTTTGTATGGCGCACAAGTGTTGGATCCGCCCCCAAATCCGTCGTAACTCCAACTTGTTCTCTGCAGTAAACGATGAACTACGTCCAGCTTCAAGTTGGCCCTGGCACGACGTTCAAATTACGCACTTGGTTACCATCAAAGATCATTCCCGTACACACACTTGTTCTAGCCTATCTCGTCGTACTGACATATCTACAAGCGTAAACCATGATGCGGCGGTGTTGGTCCACTTTCGGATAGAGCAAGTTGTTGCACTCAGAACAAAAATGCAAGGAAGCCTGTTTTAGTTAATAAGGCGGAATCGTTAGATTTGGTTGTCTGATATAGTCACTCTACAAACCATGATGAAAGTATAGGTGTGGGTGATTATTGATTATTGGTGCTGAGTGCTGATGGGTGATGCGGGTAGGTCGGGATTCATCAACCTTGTGATTCAACATGGGTAATGCCCTCTCTCTACCTGTTTCAATTGGAATTGGCTTTTACGTTCTTTTGTGATAGCTCTTGTGTTTTCGTTTGGCGAAGGTGATGTCCATTAACTGTAGATTAGTGATCGTTGCAAAAAGACGAGATGGGAGAAAACCATGAACCTGAGATGTAGTTCCAACGAACAAGACACAATCGCGCACTTAGGACGATGAGAACATAGCCAGGAGCCAACAAACGAGAGTAAGGACAATGGGGAGTGGGGAGGTTAACAATGAGAGCTGGGGAATGGGGGCATAGTGGAATTGACAAGGGGCAAACCGCTAACGCCAGTAATGGGGAGTGGTTGGGCGCCAAAGACAGAGAAGAATCAGAAGATAAATACTGCCAAGAATATGCCATATGGCTCGGTAGTCTCTATGACAGCGCTTTTCACATATATGCGAAATCGCGTTTGTCAGAATTCTGTAGCTTTGGTTATGTTTGCTACCTCGGCATTTCCCTTGACAGAATTTTTGCGAGAAGCCTCAGTGCATCTATATGAGTGCCAGCGCCCCACGACATTGAATGTCCCCACTCTTTCCTTCTAACTGATGGCCAGCACTCCATCCTCTGAGCTCATTCCAACCCCCAATCCCTCAAACTTGACCTTCACAGTTGCCACGGTTGCCGTGGCCCTCACCGTCTTTCTTCCTGCCGCACAAGGGAAAACTCCGACTGGTAAACCTGCAAAGGCCAAGCTCAAGACCAACAAGAAGAACAAACAATTCAGCTATGATTTCGATAACACCAAAGACAACTACATTGCATTCTTGAACCAGATTCTTGCTGCTCATGGACTTGCTACAAAATACGGGCCAGTAACGTCGTCTTCTCGGTTTCCAATCAAGATTCTCACCCCACCAGCCTGCATGTAAGTCTTTCGTTTATAATCAGTTAATGGCACACTCACAGTCAAGTATCTAGCAAAGCTGATGCCATTGATGTGGAACGGCACAGCGAATACAAAGATTTGATCGATAACACGCGCGAGAAGAAGGTGAACAAGCTCACAGTCCTAGTCCACATAAGTGCTGTCAAGGATGCATCAAAGAAGGTACGTTGAGTATCAATAAATTCATGTATTGGTCTAATTTGCAGTAGCGTAAGGCGGGTGGGCCAGGTTCTGAGAGTGATAGCGGTTCAGATGGACAGGAGATTGATGAAGGCAGTGGTGAGGATGAAAAGGTAAGCCCTTAGTTCTGCTTTTGCCTGTAGCTGAGTCATGGTCTCGCGCACATTAGGGCTATACTGCGATGGACCGGGAACTAGGTCGCCTTCGTGGTCTCTTGGAGAAGAAATATCAAAACCCAAACGATTCAGGCTACACCTACATAACCAATGACGGCAAGCGCCTACCGCTCACACCAATTATGCTAGCCCAATGGTGCAGAGCACTGGTAAGACTCATTTTTGGATCCTTTCGTCAACACTGACCACTGCCTCTTTCCTTCTATGTAGTACGACAACACAGCGACCCTTTCTGACCCTCCCAACTGCCAGGCCTTTGATATAGCCAATCGTGGCTGGCTTCTACCTGGACGAAGCCCAACCAGCAACAGTTCTAGCTCCTCGACTAATTCTCCTTCAGACAGCCTTGGCCATGTCGCCTCTATCTTCTCGACCCTCACATCCCTTCTTGGTGCAAAGAATCTCCCATCCCCAATCCTCCAACCCCCTACCCCTAGCCCAGCCTCTCCAGCACAAAATACACCTACCAAGCTTACACGCTTTCTTCACCATGCCCAAGATAACTTAGGAATTCCCAACGCGCTCGAATGCGAGGGCCAGCTTTCTCATTGCCAGTATGGCCCCAATATTATCCCCTACGTGTCCGATGCTGCTATCGCGAAGTGTGGTTTTACTGAGGGTGATGTCATTTGTCTCAAGCGTGGTGCAGAGGCTTGGTGGGCAAGCCCGGAGGCCAAACGTAAGCGTGCACAGGTGGCGTCGCCCTCACGCGATATCACACATGCTATTCGTTTCGAGAAGCAGTTTGTTGAAGGAGGGTCTGCATCATACTTTGGTTCAGGCATGGAAATGGGTTACAATGGCCGTAGTGACGAGTATGAGTGGTGGTACTATTGTGACAAGGTGAAGGAGCTTGTCAAGGTCCCCGCAGGGCAGGTCCCAATCCTGGCAGCTGAATACTCAGATGCTCATGAGGGAGAGGACGATTTCTGATACCATCTATTCCTGCTTTTCGCCTTGTTGGACTCTCAATACATACTGTAGTAACCACTAAACTGACATTACATATCACCATTATTATTCTGCCTGTCATTACTCTCATTATTTGATGTATGCGCTAAAATGATGTCCAACTGTAACCTAAACAACATATCCCGAAGCTCGAAAGAAATTCCATGCCATCTTTGATGTAATACTCTCACATGCCCAATCAATCAAACCCAGTGACTCATCAAGCCAGTTGCGATGTAGAAACGCTTTGATTGTGGAAAAAGCTTGCTCGATAGGGTTGAGGTCAGGTGAGTAGGGTGGAAGGAATATGAGTTTGCAGTCTAAAAGTCATCAAAGGCAATTGTTCAGAGAGTTAGCTTAACAATGACTTACGAGCTTCATCTTCAACCAAGTGCCGAAGCTCTTCAGAATGGTGAATGTTGCAATTATCAAGTAGAAGGACACTTCGGGGACCTGGCCATGGGTTGGTCAATGGAATCTGAATGAATATCAATTTTTCATGCACATAACAAAGAATTGATTCACTCACCACATGTTCTCGCACAAAGTTTGTGAAGCGCGCACTGGTGACAGAGCCAGGGATAACGTCGTATGCCATGATACCTTGAATCGTGAGAACTGGTAAAATAGAAACCCTCTGGCCGCAAACAAAAATCCTTTGCTGGAAGCATCGTCGGCCTTTCAAAGACCAGCCCATCTTTCTAAGTGAAGTCTTGCTATTGCGAGCTGCCTCGTCAATACTCATGAGCTGTGCTGGATCAGTCACAAGTTCTGCAATGCGGTTCATGAACATGGAGCGCTCCAGTTCATTACGCTCAAGCGCATGAGCAGAGACAACTTTTCGAGAAAAATGAAGGCGATGCAGGGTCCTTAGCAGGGTGGGAACGGAAACACAGACACCATGGCGCCGGTGCAATTCCTCCTGAATCTCGTCAAGGTACAAACAGTGTTGTTGGTTTAGAAGACTCCGGATAAGCTTTATATCTGTAGGATTTAGAGTTTGATGTCATCCTTGGCCAGCAAAACGTGCAGTGGGGTTGTAAGGTACGCCGTGATCCCTGTGATATGCGAGAGTTTGATAGACAAGAGACTTCCGTACGCCAAGAATTTCACAGATTTCTTTGACTTTGTAGTGTTGAGCATGGAACAAGATGGGAATCTGTTCTTTGAGGTTGCGAGATATGTGTCGAGGGGGCATCTAGGTAGGAAATGAAGAAACTAATGGCAAAGTGTCGTAGATATATAAAGATCATATAAATAGACATATGATGTAATGAGTAAACACAACCAAAGCTGCAGAAATTTTGCAAACACGATTCTGCATAGATGCGAAAAGCACTGTAACTTTAGTGCAAAGACAATTTCTGGAACTGGTGGTGCACAATCCTCGGTATGTGTGACGACCGGTGACATTCTGTGACAGAGTGTCACAGGCCCAATTTCTTGAGACATTGACCTTGTACTCTCTACAACACCAATTCAATATATTTTTTGCAATGGGTTTGACTGAATTAAGTGAATGAATCAATTCAGTGAGTTTTCCATGTAGCAATTGCATTTATTGCTCCAAAAATGCGAAATCAGTCTGTTTTCCCTGCCAAATCAGGCAGTCTGAAGAGATTGGAATATAACTTTTCAACAATAGCACATATGAACATGATTTACAGACATATTTTACTTAGAATTTAAATTACAATCGATCTACAGGTCCAGAAATTTTATTTGTGGCCCCTGTGCCGAGATACCCTTGAAAATCGGTACTTTAACATGGTTAAAGGCTAGTAATTAAATTTCTGAACCTGTAGGATTGGGGCCACATAGTAATCTATGATTTCGTCTCTGCAAACCTAAGCCCAAATCCTATCCATTGTGAAGCTCTATAGCTCGAGAGGCAACCTTGGGCCAATAGGCGCTGCATAGCCACCAAAGTGAAATATACTGCATATTCTTATACATTTGAATAGAGAATATCTATACAATTCTGGTGCACTTTTTCTCTTGTAAATCGGTGGAGAAATGACTGAGCTACATCGTTTCAAGTTTGAGCTATCTGGGAAAGCATCACCAGTCTGCCAAATTGGGAAGGTGCCTGTTTTGGCCACCAGTTATAAAATGGCACAGCTCTCCCCCCGTCTCACATTCCTTAAAAGGAAAGATGATAGGCTGTGGGAAGGTGCACTATAATATAGTGCATGAAGAACAAAGAAAATAAATGCTGATTTGGCGGAGTGGTTAACCACAATGAATTTGTAATGCTTACCAAGGTGTTATGGGTTCAATTCTCTATGCTCCATTTCTTTTTTTATGAATCAAACAATTAGTGAGGTTAGGTTAGTGGTTGGTTAGAGTCAAGGTTAGGCATGGGGGATATTTTTCTCTCTGCGCGGTAGTGCCTTCTTGTTAGGTTAGTTGTTAGGGTTCATGGTTAGGGATAGGGATATTTTTCTCTCCGCGCGGTAGCGCGTTCTTGGTAAGGTTAGGTGGTCAGGTTAGGTGGTTAGGTTAGATGGTTAGGGTAGGTTGGGTGCTCGAGAACGCACTACTGCATGTTCTCGAGCCGACTTAGGGCAATGTGCCATTGCCCTAAGTCAGAGGATTACCATATATGGGTCGACGGTGATTGCCAGCACATCACATGTGTGAGACGGGGGGAGATGTAGGACACTTCCAGTTATAGATGGCCCAAACTTTCATTTAAGTTTGGGCCATCTATAACTGGTGGCCAAAACAGGCACCTTCCCAATTTGGCAGACTGGTGATGCTTTCCCAGATAGCTCAAACTTGAAACGATGTAGCTCAGTCATTTCTCCACCGATTTACAAGAGAAAAAGTGCACCAGAATTGTATAGATATTCTCTATTCAAATGTATAAGAATATGCAGTATATTTCACTTTGGTGGCTATGCAGCGCCTATTGGCCCAAGGTTGCCTCTCGAGCTATAGAGCTTCACAATGGATAGGATTTGGGCTTAGGTTTGCAGAGACGAAATCATAGATTACTATGTGGCCCCAATCCTACAGGTTCAGAAATTTAATTACTAGCCTTTAACCATGTTAAAGTACCGATTTTCAAGGGTATCTCGGCACAGGGGCCACAAATAAAATTTCTGGACCTGTAGATCGATTGTAATTTAAATTCTAAGTAAAATATGTCTGTAAATCATGTTCATATGTGCTATTGTTGAAAAGTTATATTCCAATCTCTTCAGACTGCCTGATTTGGCAGGGAAAACAGACTGATTTCGCATTTTTGGAGCAATAAATGCAATTGCTACATGGAAAACTCACTGAATTGATTCATTCACTTAATTCAGTCAAACCCATTGCAAAAAATATATTGAATTGGTGTTGTAGAGAGTACAAGGTCAATGTCTCAAGAAATTGGGCCTGTGACGCTCTGTCACAGCATGTCACCGGTCGTCACACATACCGAGGATTGTGCACCACCACCAGTGGAACTAAGCTAAGGGGATCAGAATTTAAGGCCTGCGGGTGTGAGCCCACAACAGATATGAAGACCACGATGACCTGATTGCTGACGTGCATGGGGAACACGAGGCTGCACATTTTTGGTCCTTCACAACTTGAGATTTGAAAAAAGTATAAATAGAACTTATAAATTCAAGTCACATGTTGGTTACAGATCTAGACCCAGGATGTCTGCGAAAGGCCAACATGCCAGGACACATGCCATAAGGTTTGCCACCAGTGGGATGGCCAATGAGCCAGAAGAAAGATGAAGCTGTCCTCAAGTGTCCCAGGTTGTGTGATAGAAGTCAGCATATATATATTCATGAGACAGAAGAAAGACAAACCTCTCCTCAAGTGTCCCAGGTTGTGCGATAGAAGTCAGCATAGTTGAATCTTTTCTTGATTTCGGCAAGGAGGTACCAGCCAGGGGTACAATATGTGATATGATTGGTGGTCCAACTGCCTCTGTTGTTGCCCGAGTGGACCTGACCTACAATACGAGCTTTCCCATCCTTTATGTGCCAAACGAGAGAGCCAGAGTCTCCCTTGGCGGCAAAGGCTTCAACACCCTCAATGCCAGCATTGTAGACAGCAAGCTCCCTGGATACAACACCGAGTGCGTTGGTGAGGGATTCAAGGCCGGAGTAGCGCCCGACAGTGAGGCCGGTGGTGTTTCCGTCTTTACCGACCATGAGACAGGGCTCTCCATCATTATCGAACTCCGCGGGGGCGGCAAGCTCCTCCCTCGTAGCACAACCAAAAATGCGGAGTTTCCTATCCTCAGGATACTTGAACGTGGTCGGACCACCACTCCGAGAGTAGAACATACGCTTTAGTTGTACTGGGGTGAACTTCGCTCCTGCATAAGGGTTGATTTCATCAGACGAGGGAGATGCGACAAAGATAAAGCGCACCAAGATCAACGACATTGCCGACAAAGCCACCCGCGACCTTGGCCTTTGCAGCCAAGAATGCTCCCCAGTCGGAGGTGTACTTGGTGTCTTTTTGGTCGACCTTGATGGAAGGGGCGTATTTGACGTGTCCGATATTGCGGTCTACCTTGATGTCCGACCAGTACTTCGTTACCTCAACCTGAAGCTTCTTGAGTTCGGCGATGGATTCCTTTTCCTTGTCCACCAGGTTTTGGTTATACGCTACGTTTTCCGCGTTCGCCGGGCTCTGATCTCCATTCGTTTGAAGTCTGACGACTTGTCTAGCAAAAACGTCAGCATCAGTTTCGTGAGCCTCAATGGCATCTGCGATCTCATCGAGTCCACGCTGGAAGCGACGCTCCCCGCAGACGCGAACATGATCCTTGGCTGCTCCGCCCTTGAAAATGTAGTCGACGGTGGTGTCCTTCCGAAGAACATGACAGGTGCTGATCCCGTAAACCTTCTCGCTGAGATTACCCTCTCTGTCCTTGTTCTCGTGCATCCACAAGGTCAGAGTGCCCTGCGAGCCCTCCATTTCCATACCCTCGGTGGTGATTGGAACAGCATGAAGAGCAGTGAGGAATCGCCGAACATAGTGGGTGGGATCCCTGGTCTCGGCATGACACATGAGCGGGGGACCTGCAAGCTTCTGCAAGACAGCCTCTCTCCATTCAACCTCAACATACTTGACACCATTATTCCGCAGAAGAGCAAGGATCTCCTGAGAGGTGTCATGGGCGGTGTCGGCCGAGGTCAGACCAGGCTTGACCCCAATCCAAACCACGACCGGTCCGATAGTGCCCTTCTCCTCCTCCCCTGGCGGACCGCGAGTGAAAAAGCGTGCGGTGTCAATGGAGGACCACAAGATACCCCGCTTGTTTAATATGCTGCAGATCTCAGGACCGACGACGTCCCAGACCTTGTTCAGCAGCGTACCGAAGACTCCGCGTAGTGATTTTATGGGGAGATAGGGGAATCGGCCGACGGGGTTGAGGTATGGTTTTGTGAGAGCATCCGTTCGGTAGACTAAGTCGGGATGATCGCGGTTGTTCCCAGTGATACCATTATAGTAGGATTGTCTTTCGAAGGCGCTAGGAGCGTGCTCGGAAACCATGGTCGTGTGGCTGGCGAAGGTGAGGGTGGAGTCGCTTGAGGTTTGGGGACTCACCTCGATACCTCGAACTGCCTCGAAGTGATGTGATTATTGTCGAATCGAATGGACGTGGGCGTATGTTTCAAATTTCGAATCCTTGGCGTGCAAGCCATTTTCCAGCGCTTCTAGACTCCTGATTCTGACTGAAAAGCTGCATTCATCTCGAATGGGATATGTATTGGACGGTTGATTCTTATCTTATCCGCCATGCTTTGGCGCAATTGGCCCTTCATCTCCGGAACACTGGCCCATCAAACCTATAAGCATTTCATACTAATTTAAATGGGATCCAGTGACACAGCTTTGGCCATGTATAGTGAAATGAAAATTGTGGAGGCACCTCCCTCGAATTATGTGGTAGAATTCTCGGTCACGCCGCTGCCTTGCTGTCATAAAACACTATTGAAATTTGAGCACAAGTATATAAGCGAAGAATATTTTGATAGCATGTTTGACTGGGTTTTGACTAGGTGTGGACCAGAACCCAGGCTCGGCATCATCAAGGCATCATAGTGGCTTGCGGCGGGAGGGTAAGTAATGCAGACCTGGCGTTATAGCCATTGCGTGCCCTTCTTCCGAACTCTCAGAAACCTCGTGGTAGTGAAGCACAAGGCGCCGATAAGAACGCAGAGGCTGGAAAAGAGAATCGGACGCCACCATACAAATGATGGCGACAACAATGCTCCCGCTATCGGAGTGCCTTCATCTCATATCAGCTATAAGGTAGAAAAGTTGTACAAAGGCATTCACCGACGAGGCCGCCTAACCCTATTTTTGACGGATGTAAGTCTTAAATCAATGTCGGCGAACTTTGCATTGACTCACCAGTGAATGTAAAACAGACCCCCAATCTCGCGCCCATTTCGCCATCGTTTTTAGCGAGGGAACTCACCATCGGCGGAAGCATGCTGACATCTAGGAATGCGAGGTCAGCGCGGTTAAGCAGACAGCGATGCGTAAACTCACATGCTCCAGAGAAGAAACCGTAAAGAACAGCGAATATCAATGTACCGATAGCAGTATTCACTGCAAGGGTACAAATGACCAAAATCGCGGCAATAAATACGCAGGGTATGATCACGTTGTAGACACCGAAACGATATACGAATAGGTTTGGGACAATGCGTCCTGCGGCGCTACCCGCATTCATTATCACGATCTGCGTTTATCAAGAAGGCGAGCTCATAGTTAGCAGGGGGACGTAGCTTACAGTGTAGAACGCCAAACCAGGTTTGACACCGCTTTTGATCGCATTCAGTTGTATGAAAAAAAAAGGGAAGTAGAGACCAGCAAGGGTAGATGTTGTCCTGAAAACAATCAGAAAAGTAACATGAGAGGAGGGTGTGGCCTCACCCAATGATCGTGATGGTATAGGGGATATCTCTCAAGAAGACGCGCAAGTCTTTGTATGTACTGCTTTCCTTTTTAGGGGTGGGGGGAAGTCGGGGCTTCATGAGGCAGATCGCAATTATTAAGAGCACGGCATTCAATCCAGCACTTGCCCGGACGCCGGAATGAAACCCTAGCGATCCGTGGAACCAAGCATTGAGCATAATCGGGTGAATGGCACCGCCGACTGCAGATCCCTGCGGGCGGAAACCAGTCAACAATAGAGTATATGGTCACATATCTATGACAAACCGAGGTAGCGATTCCGATGGCGAGAGCCCTCCGTTTTCGAAAATAATGGGAAATAACACCTAACCCAGGAATATATGTCGCACCAACTGCGATGCCTATGCCGAGACCTTGCGTCAGAAAGACCTAATGAAGGTCACGTCAGGACGACGAAGACCTTCTCTAATATTTACCTGATAATATTGTTCTGCTTCAGTTATCGAAAGCATGAACAGGCAGAAAACCAAAAGAAAGGAACCCCCGATCATCAGATGATAGCTGTAAGGGAAGGTTATTGATAAAATTCCAATTGATATCAACGTCACATACAAGTATCCAGTGTCGAAAGCTCTCCCAACAAATAATCCAACTGACATGACCAAAAACAGCTGCACGCTGCCTATCCAGCTACACCAGGTTTAGGTCAGTCGCTTATTTCTGCCGAGCCCTAAGCGAGCAGGGAGGTTGCAGACCTAATTTGGGAGGATGTGTAATTTTTTGCCAGATATTCCCGAACGTAGAAATCTAAGTGGTCAAAGGCGCAAATCAGGTAGGAACGTGTGCGTATCTGCATGACGTAGGCGAACCGTTGTACACTCCATAAGCGTTAGTGTAACTGCAAGCAATTCAATCCCTGTCAGCGTCCTGGCACATGGTTAGGTATTACGTACCCAAACGTACAAAACTGGGCTATCCACCTGAATGGCCGATTATCAGCATCACTCGGGGAAAAAAAGTCGCCAGCGGCCTCACACTCCTAAGACGACCATCCATGCCCTCCTGCCGCCTTCAGGAAATGTGGGGTTCGGGTCAACCTGCCCGTCGCTGGGGTCCAAGCTGCTCACATTGCTGAACGACTTCTCCTTCTCCATTGACACCAGGCTGACATTCTTTTCAAGATCGTTCACTGATATTATTTTGTCATTCGATCCACTTGGATCTTGCGTATCATCGTTGACGAACGATCGGTTAGAATCGTTTGAGTCACCCATATCAGTCGTGAGTCGTGGAGAGGTCGTCTAAAGCTGTCAGTTGAGGGAAAAGAACGAAGGAGCGAAACCCATTTATCAGTTGCCGAGGATGGGGTCATTCGGAGTTCGTTGACAGGATTTTATAATAGGTCGTTGAAAGGGGGTCAGGAACGCCCAAGAAAATATAAGTATACCGGCGGCATATGGTAGCCGGCGGATGTTCCGAGAGCATTCCGAAGGGATGGCGATTGGGGAGGTATGGGCCGAGAGGATTGCGTGTGATCAAGACAGATGGCTCTTTCAGACGTCGACATACAATTACGACCCCACATGCGCAAGAACGCTTCCATAGGTCTCACCGCGCCCATGATAGATCACGATAGTAATACGTGGCAAATTGAACCATGCAGTTGGGGCTCAACCTCGGGGAATAATCAGCAAGTTGAATCGATGCTTAATGACGAACTTCATCGAAGAACATTCGCTGTTGGGCCAGATTTGACAAAGCAAGGCGTCAAGCATCACGAAAATATATATATGGAGTTCGCCTTCGGATACAAATCAGCTATATCTATGGAAAAGCCTGGTATCAAGACGGGAATTAACTGACCATTAATTAGATAAACGAATGATAATGTACAATCACATGTCCCTGAAATGTCCCCATGTCACCTATGTTATCCATCATCGGTGTCGGGCCGACTATCTGAAGGCAGTGTTGGGTCTGTAAAGCTATGGTTGCACTTGACGCAGACGAAGAAAAGGAGCATGCGCGTCTCTTTTCGCTTGGATTGATCTTGATAGAATACAGCACTAGATGACAGGTCATTTACAACACGTCACGAGGAACTGAAACGGGGCATACTCCTCATGACCACACCGGGGACAAAGGATGTTGGAGTGAGCCTAACGATAAGAAATCAGCTCTTGAAGAAAGCTGGAGGTGTTTGAATGGCGCACGAGTGTTGGATCCGCCCCCAAATCCGTCGTAACTCCGACTTGTTCTCTGTGAACGATAAGTGCTCTACGTCCAGCTTGGCCCCACGACGTTCAAATTACGCACTTAGTCACCGTCAACAGATCATTCCTGTACACACACTTGTTCTCGCCGATCTCGTCGTACTGACATATCCTGCAAGCGTAGACCATAATGCGACGGTGTTGGTCCGCTTTCGGATAAAGCAAGTTGTTGCACTCAGAACAAAAGTGCAAGGAAGCCTGTTTTGGTCAATAAAACGGAACCATTAGCGTTGATTTGTCTGATATAGTCTTTCTACAAACCATGATGAAAGTAAAGGTGAATGGAATTTGAACGGAATGCTGACTCAGGCCTCAGGGTCCAGGCAAAAAGATCTTTCAAGCTCCGACACAGTTCAACGAAACTCGTGACCCTTCGCCTCCGCCACTCTCAGCTACCGTCGAGCTATGCGCTCAACTTTACGCCTTGGTTCTTTTGCCGTGACTCGACCTCAAAATCTTGCGGGCTTTACTGTCTTCTTTTGCGTTCGCATATTCCGAGATGGCCTGGTGCATTTGATCTCCCACACGCCGTTAGCGAGGCCATCTGCCAACTACGACGGGAGCTCCATTCCTAACGCTGCGGTATCTTCTGATGGTCTGGGGTGACATCCATTCCCCGGAGAGACATCTTCTAGGGTCGCCGCCGTTAACTAATTCCCAAGGCGCGGCGCTGCTCAAATGCTCGAAAGCAATCTTACATAGCCTGGTCTGCGGTTTGAATAGTCTTGATCCGCGTGTTTCTTCGCAAGATATCTTCAAGTTCTTCTTCTTCTTGAGGTGAAGCTGGCTGCTGCCTCTGTAAGAAGATACGGTGGCCCCACAGATATTGTAAGGCTCGGCTTTTGTTCACTGATTAAGGTACCGTCCTCTTGCTTTTGGGCCGCTTTGCCTCGCGTCTGGGCGCCGTTATATTGACGCTTTTTTGCGCCCGAGCGGACTGAAACGAGTGCGATTTGCCTGACTGCCTCTGAAGGTCACTTCGTCACAAGCCCGTTGAGCACTTGTCTTGCGACCTCGGCACATGTCAATTGCCCTCTAGCTCAGGCAACGTCTGGGGCATGGGCTTGTGCGACCCGCCTTTTCGTCCTCCCCTTCTATATTTCCGTCATACAGGTGATGATCAACAAAATGTCAATCTCTCCTTACGTGGTGAATTTCCAAAATTGTATCCCTCTTGATCGAAACTTTCCGGTAATCGGCACCTCCCACTTTGAAGGTTGCAGCCTTTAGGTGTCACCCAACACGCCGTTGCCACGGGCAATGCTCAACCTTAAGCGAGCAACGCTGTCTTCACAAATAATTTGTTCAGTTCAACGCATGAGCCCCTGCGCAACTTTGTTCATCATACAGCGGCACTTTCCAGCATCGTTCCGTTCCGATGCCAGGGCAAGCCTTGGAACTTGGAAGTATTTCACGACACTCAACATAGAAGAAGATTGAAGGGTCAGTCGACCCTGATTCTCCGCAAGTTCGCCACGCACGACCTGCAGAGGAACCGAATATCCCATTCGTGAATTTCATCACAGGTAAGAAAAATTCAAATCCACTCAGCGTCTGTTTCGGACGCGCTCCCTTTGCAAAAATTTTCCGCATTGATGGTCTTTATTTTTACGCTCATTGGAATATTTAGCACACCCAAATCGGGTCCGTCGACTTCCAAACACGTAGTTTCAGGTTCAGATTGATTTCGCCGTTTGGGGGGCTAAAAGTAAGTGGGTAAAATCACTCTTACCTGAAGGCCCGTTGAGGTAAAATTTCAAGAATCGCTGAATCGGCTTGAATCGGCTGCTGACGATGCTCAAGTAGGCGCGAAAGCTTCATTAAGATTAACTGAGAAAAGGCGAGATAGTTTGTTTTTTACGTACAGGGTCCAGCTAGGGTCTTCCTGAATGATCTCCAGCCCTCCGCATCGGTTTCGAGGGTCTCCTTGCTTCCTATAAAATGGCCGGGTCTCTAGACTCCCCAATTCAAGGCTTTCTCGCTGTCCACTCCTTCACTTTCTCCTGCGGTCCTCGCCTGATATTACGAAATGAAGTTCACCATCATCTTTACCATCCTTTCCGCTCTCTTCTTCGCCGCCGTTAGTGCTGCTCCGAGCCTTACCAATGCGCAACGCCTCGCTCGTGGTTGGTCACCTAATCCACCCGCAAGGCGCACGACACCTGTCGCTGGTGAATATATATTTCCCTTCTTCTCGCTCTGCGTCTGACCAAAACTGCCCCCACAGCGGCGAAGAGGGGCCAGCCTTCGGGAATTCACAACTCTTGCAACACTGGAACCATGCACTGCTGTAAGTTCTTCAATGTGATTACCCTCCCCTTTTGGTCAACGTCTAAACCAATCTAGGCAACTCCGTCACTTCTAGCAACAGCCGAGTGGCTAGCACTCTCGCCGGTTTGCTGGGCATCGTTCTGCCGCACAATACCGCCGTCGGAATCACTTGCAGCCCTCTTTCCGCTGTCGGTCTGGGTCACGGTGGCACCTGGTAAATAACATCTACTCTTACTCCGGGAGATTTGTTTTTCTTATTGTTGATATCATAGCACCCAACAACCTGTCTGCTGCACTGGAAATAACTTCAGTGGCTTGGTCGTTGTCGGATGCTCTCCAAGTGGGTCAACCTTTCACACTTCATCCTCGAATATCTGTTGACTCGTTTCCTTTCAGTCAACATCAACGTGACTTAAGGAGCTAAACCTAAATGTGCCGACGTTGTGGCAATATCTAGACCCCGTTCTTGCAGGACTTTAGACAGCTTCTCCGCTCTCGTTACAATCGTGGTTCACTCCTTTACCACATTTATTTTTACTACGTATACCCTATAAATAATTCTCAGCTCCTCGGCTCGTTTGATTCGGGATGTCGGGTGCCTCTTTGGCCGTGTAGTGAGAAACGGCCCTGCGTTAGAACTCTTGACACGTACACAAACGCGAGTGCGCAGCCATTAGAATTTGATCCCGATTCAGTGCTCCGATATTAGATTGAAGAACCAACTGCTTCCAGGGCACGATACGCTTCTAGCTCGTAAAGCTATTGAACATCCTTAGCTTAACCGACGTAATGATCGCGATGCTCAAAACTTTCAGAAGCACGGCTACCGCGTTCAATGTACGCGACTCTCAAGAAAAATATAACGGTAACCGATGTGTATGTGTTCTTCAATTTCAACAACAAGTTCAATAAGGTGTGGTTAGATTTAAATTTTAAGCTGAGCCGTGCATAACAACATTTCCGACGATCCACTCATCGGAACGAAGATACCACGAATATTGTGTCCAACTCCCAATTGTAAAATAAATCCTGGCTGGGCAAGAAAATGTTCTTACAGTGCCCGCGGCGCTCGCCACCCTCGCGCAACATGGATAACCTCTACGAAGATCATCGTTTTTCCTGAACCACAATAGAGGGGTGACATGCTCGACACATGGCTACGTCAAATATTGTGATGCTCAGTATCTGCAAAGCAGCTTATTTTTTGAATAGCCCTCAGGCCAGGGGTCTGGGCAAGAATTTCAAGTGTTCGCTGACGCTCTTACTTTCTTGATAAAATTCAATTATGCGTGGTTAAGGCTGATAGGGACAGTGTTCTGTTTTATTAAGCGGATTTTGATATATTGAAAAGTGTAGTTTCATGGGTTCATTTCGTCCACGCGACTTCAAAAAAAAAAAAAAAAAAAAAAAAAAAGCTGCTCTACTAGTCAAATCTAAACATTTGAAAGAAATTAGAGGGAATGGTGGGGGGATATTCATACAAAGGTGGCAAATGTACTCAGTATGCCTCGTCTGATCAGGGGGATGTATAGTCTCTCTGCGTGTACTGCAGGACCAATGCACAATTCGGTGAAACATAAATAGATTTGTGTCTATTTATAGACATGCCCACTTGGACCGTTGAACGCGTCGTTCCATGTATTTGAGTACGAATTGTTCCTCTGGTTTTTTTGTTTTCTGATTTATATACTAGACATAAAGCGTTTCAGAGTGGACCAGAAACCGTTGAAGAGGGAAGATATGTCAGCCTGGCCCTCGCCGCGAAGAATTCATCAAGCTTTGAGTCCAGTCGTTTCCCGACCTTCGGTCTCCTTTCACAAGAAATTATGTACACCCCTCAAAAATGCTTCTAGAATACAGCGTCTCAAGCCCGCGAGAGTGGGAGCATTACCGACCTCCTCGGCAAGTTACCAATGATCGAAAAGCATATACTTTATCGCGCCACCTGCAGTCTGGTCTGTAGCCTGAGCGTAACGTGTTGAGTAGCTAGAATCCGACTTCGAGCTCGTAGGGTCCTTTCAGACCGCGCTTTTTGTAGGCCTAGTGCTGCGCTTTGTTACGTGGTTGTGGCAAACAGAGCCTGAGGTCGCTGGTGCGTTGAGAACGCTAGTATAGTGTGGTATGGTACGTGTACGTGTGCGAGTAGGTTGGGATAAATAAAAGTGGGGTGGTTTTGAAGTGTCGATTAGAGGTCCAAGTCAATCATTTGTTTTCTCAACAAAAAATCTTCGGCAAGAAAATGGCTTATAGACAATGGTACTATGATGGTAGAGAGGAAGTCCCGATTTGGTAATCTAGGCGTGAACCTTATTCTGTCAACTTGCAAGCCACCACGGAGATTCCCGCGCGCACCAAATTTGCTCCCACTACTACCCGTCGCAGTAATCAAGAGCTCGTCGTCAACGTCAAGAATGGTCAAAGGTACGTCGTCGTCGCCTCTCTTCCAAAAACGACCAACTTACTAACTCATCATATAGTATACAAGCCCGGCAAGGTACAGTATGAGGCTCAATACACCTCCCGCGTAACACACGCCTTACGAAGGATACTGTTCTGTTATTGTTAGGTCGCCATCGTCCTACAAGGTCGTCAAGCGGGCAAGAAGGTCGTAGTTATTAAGCAGCTGGATGAAGGATCGAAAGAGCACCCGTTCCCGCATGCCATCGTTGCTGGCATCGAGCGCTACCCACGGAAAGTGACGAGGCGTATGGGTCAGAAAAAGTTGGCGCATAGGAGCAAGGTTAAGCCTTTCATCAAGGTACGTTATATTTCGTGGCGGCTGGCAAGCGGAGGCTGATACGCACTGGGTTTTAGGCTATCAATTACTCGCATCTTTTCCCGACGCGATATGCTCTTGAGCTGGAGGGATTGAAGGGGTCGGTGACGGTTGATACGTTCAAGGAGCCATCGCAGAGGGAGGACGCGAAGAAGGCTGTTAAGAAGTTGTTTGAGGAGCGTTACACTACCGGCAAGAACAAGTGGTTCTTCCAAGCACTGAGAGTGAGCTGCTTTCGCTTTCTTTGGAAGATGTTTTCGAGCTGATTTTTATTGTCTAGTTCTGAGCGGTTTTCATGTTTGTTATGCCCATATAAAACGTTGTATGCATTCATGTCCATGCCTTGCCATACATAACTACCACCATCATGGACGCACCTTGACGTTGATAAGGCAAGTGTGTCCTCTTGAAGTTTCGGTCACATCGGAAGCATACCCGCTTTGTTATTTCCTGAGATAAACTCCATGTCGTATCGACCTCCCGCCAGACCTAGCAGGATGATTGCGAGAAAATGTTCGTGCGGAACCGTAAATATCTTGTGTCCTTTTTTGTGTATCATTCCGTCAATGTAACCAAACAACGCCTGCTTGAACGCGTACTTCGAGGCTCAAAAGGCATATTGGAAACCTCATGCTTGTAAGGAAAAACGAGGACACCGATCTAGTCGCTCAAAGTATCACTGAAGCTTGGAACTCCACCTTTGTGCGTGAATCTCCCTAGGACCGCAACAATTCAACATTTGACAGATCATCCACATCTCTTTCATTGTTCCAAATAGCACCGAACAAGTTCTTTCATATAAACCTCATGTCAGAGGGCTTTACAACTACGGGCACGGGACCAATCGCCTCATCGCGCCAACCAGTGGCACCTCCGAACCCGCAACAACAATTTGGAACGGGAGTACGCCTCATCAACTCTTCAACACAACAACCACAACAACAGCAGCCAAGCATCTTCCAACAACCTCAGCAAACCCAACCATCAGTATTCGGGATTCAACCGACAAATTCGCTACAAGCACAGCCGACGCTGCCTGTTCTTAATAACACGACTACGACGGCGACGACACTGAATACGGGGGGGTTGTTTGGGGGTCAGACGACGAACACGGGTGGGGGGCTGTTTGGGGGTGGTGGAGGTGGAGGAGGGGGTGGGGGGTTGTTTGGGAATACGGGGAATCAGCAGCAGCAACAGCAGCCTGCGACCGGTGGTCTTTTTGGTGGTACCACCAACACGCAACAACCAGCTACTGGTGGTGGTCTGTTCGGTAATACCACCAATACGCAACAGCCAGCCGCAGGTGGAGGTCTTTTTGGGGGCGCTACGACCATGCAACAGCCAGCTGCAGGTGGTGGTCTTTTTGGGAGTACTACAGCGCAACAACCAGCTGCAGGTGGAGGACTTTTTGGAGGCTCTACAACGTCGCAACAATCAGCTGCAGGTGGAGGTCTTTTTGGGAATACTACGGCCACGCAACAGCCCGCTGCAGGTGGTGGTCTCTTTGGGAGTACTACAGCGCAACAACCAGCTGCAGGTGGAGGACTTTTTGGAGGCTCTACAACGGCACAACAGCCAGCTGCAGGTGGCGGTCTTTTTGGGAGTACGACGCAACAACCCGCTGCAGGTGGTGGTCTCTTTGGGAGTACTACAGCGCAACAACCAGCTGCAGGTGGAGGACTTTTTGGAGGCTCTACAACGGCACAACAGCCAGCTGCAGGTGGCGGTCTTTTTGGGAGTACGACGCAACAACCAGCTGCAGGTGGAGGTCTCTTTGGGAGCACGCAACAGCCAGCTGCGGGTGGCGGCGGTCTTTTTGGAGGCTCTACAACCACGCAACAGCCAGCTACAGGTGGGGGCATGTTCGGCAGTACGTCCACAACCCAGCAACCAGCTGCGGGTGGGGGTGGTCTTTTCGGCAGGACGACGAGCTCACAGCCAGCTCCGGCTGGCGGTCTTTTTGGGAGCACAACGACCACCACTCAACCCAGCGGCGGGGGTCTATTTGGGAACACCCAACCTACCAATACGAATACAGGCGGGGGGTTGTTCGGCGGTGGTACGACGACGGCTGGCCAGGGTACAACTGGCGGTGGCGGCTTATTTGGAGGTAGCCAGGCGAAACCGGGTGGTGGAGGCTTGTTTGGGAGTACGACGACGACGACCGCCCCGACGGGTACTAGCAACTTGTTCGGGGGTGGCCAGCAGCAGCAGCAATCCAATTTATTCGGGGGTAGCACTAACACGAATCCGCTGTTGGGCGGCGGTAAAAATTTCTTTGGGGGTAGTACCCTTGGAACCAGCGCTTTTGGCGGCGGGGGGCAGCAGCCACTACAGCCTACTGGGAGCCTTCTTTCGTCTAGATCGCTTGGAGGGTTGGGAGGAGCGCAGCAAAATGATCCTGCGAGTCAGCATGCGAATATCACTGCTAGGTTTGAAGGGATATATAATGCGTGGAACTCTGCTTCTCCTCAGTGTCGGTTTCAGGTACGCGTTTTTTGTTGGTTTTTTTTTTTTTTTTTTAGATACTGAGGGTGAGTTGACAGCACAACTTTTACAATCTCGTGGATCCGAACCAAGTCAACTTGTATGGCCGCCCGCCAAATGCTACTAATGACGCCCTTTGGGAAAAGGCATTGCGAGAAAACCCTGATCCTTCCTGGTCAGTCTCTCCTTTCCTTCCTTCCTTCTTTACGCCTCTAAGAACGAAAATCCTAACTTAATTTATCTACAGCATGGTACCCGTAATAGCCATCGGGTTCGACGACCTACGCGATCGCGTCGAAGCCCAAAACCAACAATCAACAACCCACACCAAAAAACTAACAGACCTCAAATCGCGCCTCGAAGCCCTCTCCTCCGCACACGCCATCCAAAACTCCACCCGCCTCCTCCGCGCATCCGCAAAACAAACACAGATCGTGCATCGATTGTTGGGCTTCGTGCAGCATTTGCATTTGTTGATTCCGTCGGTTAGGTCGTCGGCGATCAGGCCGGAGGAGGAGGAGATGAGGGGTAAGTTGGAGGAGATTGAGGATGAGATTAGGAAGGGACGGGTTAAAGGACGGTTGAATGAGCTTTGGGCGTTGCTTGGGGCTGTTAATGCGAGTATTGAGAGGGGACGAGGGGGAACGGCGGAGTGGGCCGTTGTTGATGATGAGGGGTTGGGGCAGATTGCGCAGGTGGGTTTTTCGCTCGGTTTTCTGTTTTCTTTTTTTCCTTTCTTTTTTGACGTTGAGGTTGGTTGACGTTGTGGTTTTTTTTTACTTAGATCCTTTCGGAGCAGCAGGCGGGGCTGGCGCACCTTACCAAGATTTTACAAAAGTGCCAGAGAGATTTGGCAGTTATTATGGGGACTGCGGCACCTGGTGCTGGTGGTGCTGGTGGTGGGATGAATGGAGATGAGGGGGTTGAGGGGGAGAAGCTTTGGAGTAATCTTTGGAGTTCGACGAATACCTTGCGGGAGAGTGCGTTGCGTTGATGAGATGGTTTTCATTGCGTATTTGGGTTTGGGCCTAGCACTCGTCCTCTGTGTGTGATATACTGTGATATATATTACACTGTAAATAACACCGGTAGCGATCTCAGTGTTGGGATTGTAATTCCTGTTGAAGATATATGTAGCAAGTGTCAAGATTGTTTTGCTGGAGCGTCACGCGAATTCATCTCCGACTCACAACCATCTCTCTCTTGACCATCGCTTGCACCATCAAACTTGTTATGAGAAGGCCCACTCAAAACCTCTCGTTTGACAGATGTATATGCTGAGTGTGCATTCCCTCGTCCTTCGTCCGAGCGCGTGAGTCCGAAGTGGAGCATTTTTCGTGCGTAAAGCTTACTGATATCGTGAACAGGTGCTGTCGATCAATTTGAACTTTGAAGCAAATATATGGCCAGGCAGACGTCAAAATATAACGGAACCTTTCAGAGGACAAAAAGTAACGACGTCGACTATTTCACCACTCTTGTCCAACACGTGGGTGCTGTCGGGTCTTTCCGAGCGACCCAATCCACACCCAATCTGAACGTGGCTGCAAGCAACTTTGGCATTATCACTACCGCGAACGGTCGAGGATCTTAAGACGCGATGGCTGAGATCCGCCGACAACTCGTCGCCGTAGGTGACGGTAATGCAGGGAAGGTTTGTCCGGACATATCATAATGCGGATTGCACAAATGACACTGACTACGGTATGTCGCAGACGGCGTTGCTCGTTACATTCTCGAAGGGAACCTTCCCAGAGGTATGTGGATATTAATTGATTGGAGCGTCACAGATAACACTCGTGAACAGATATTAATCTCAATGCCTTTTGAAGATTACGTCGCCGACGTTGAGGTGGATGGGAAGCATGTCGAGTTGGCGGTACGGTGTACGGCTGGTCAGGAAGACTATGATCGCTTGCGTCCTCTGGCATACCCCGACGCGCACGTTATTCTTATATGCTTTGACATTGCTAATCCCGTTTCCTTGGACAACGTCGAAGAGAAGGTACGTAGCCAGCTCCTCAATATATAGGTGCTAATATTTACTTTTCGATTATCGCAGTGGATTCATGAGGTCATGCACTTCTGTCATGGACTCCCCATCATCCTTGTAGGTGCGAAAAAAGACCTGAGAAGAGATCCGAGAACCATTGACGAACTACGGAGGACGAATCAACGTCCAGTGACCGTTGAAGAGGTAGGTTGAGCTAAACTTGGAAGAGGTACTCTCCTCCACTACCATTTCATACCAGGGACAGCAAGTTGCCAAGAAAATCGGAGCAAGGCACTATGTTGAGTGCTCTAGCAGGACTGGGGAGGGGGTTCGCGAAGTGTTTCAAATTGCAACTCGCGAGGCATTGCGCCCCCGTCCAAAACCCCCTCCAAAGAGGTTCGATAAACTTAAGGGACTGTTAAAGTCATCGTCGAAAGATGAAGATGTGGAATCTGAAAAAGCGCCTCAACTAGATGCCTCTGAACAGCAAGAAATGAAGAGATTACTGGCAGCAGCCGTCGCCGTGGCGCCCCCTCCGCTTAAAAAGTTCAGGTTGTTGATCATCGGGAAAACGGGGTGCGGTAAAACCACAATTCTGTATAAAGTTAGCAGTTCCAAACAGCTTTTCCATCTTATGAAGCCACTAACTTTGCGTTCCAGGTGTGTGGCGGGAATATGGTGAGAGTGACCAGGCTCTCGCAAGGCTTACATTTCATATTTGCCATTTGAGGTGGACGCGCCCAGCACCACGGTGAGTGCAAAGTCGTTCGACTTGTAGTACCACGCAGAAACCAAATGCGATGTCTTCAGAGAGGTACCCATAATATTGAAAAAGAAATCGAATTCGAGGGGAACAACAAGATTATTGCGCATGACTCCGAGGGATTTGAAGCGGGGAAGCAGGCAGAGGTGGAGGTTGTTTGGAAATTCATCGACAGTCGTTCACGCGCAAAAGACATAAATCAGAAATTGCATATGGTGTGGTTCGTCTTGCTCCTTTTACTCGTTGTGGACAAGTTCATTCGAATTGCCGTAGGTACTGCATGGAGATGAATTCTCGGCCCATCCAGCAAGCAGAGAAAGATTTTTTTTCGATGCCTTTGACAGGTAAGATCAAAGATGAATCACTCCTCTTCAAACGTGACGTTTCCCATAGTACCGGTTGTGGCCATTGTGACCAAGTTCGACACATTTTTACAAGATATCCAGCAGAAATTGGAAGAAAAAGCTGAAGAAGAAGACGAAGAAGTTGATGACGACGAGCTCGAAAAGCTTGCCATTATCGAGGCAGACAAACGGTTCGACCAGCACTACAAGAAACCCCTTGAGAGCATGAAGCATCCACCAAGGGCCGTTGTGACTCTTTCTGAAGGTGAAATAGCTTGGTGTGCAAAGTTGCATCGTGCTTGACGAGAAATTACTTGAAGTGCACAAGTCGGCTCCGGACGATAGTCGCTTAGTCCGATTGATTGATGAATCACTGAAAGTATTGTCTCTGACAGAAGCGCAGCGTCAAGCACGAAGCGGTTATGCCGTTGCGCCCCCTCCGCTTGGAAAAATTAGGTTGTTGATCATCGGGAAAAGGGGGTGCGGCAAAACCACAATTTTGTCTAAAGTTAACAGTTCCAACCAGTTTTTCCGTCTTATGAAGCCACTAACTTTTCGTTCCAGGTGTGTGGCGGGAATATGGTAAGAGTGATCAAGCTCTCGCAAGGCTTACATTTCATATTTGCCATTTGAGGTGGACGCGCCCAGCACCACGGTGAGTGCAAAGTCGTTCGACTTGTAGTATCATGCACAAACAAAAGGCGACGTCTTAAGAATGGTATCCATGACATTGAAAAAGAAATCGAATTCGAGGGGAACAACAAGATTATTGCGCATGACTCCGAGGGATTTGAAGCGGGGAAGCAGGCAGAGGTGGAGGTTGTTTGGAAATTCATCGACAGTCGTTCACGCGCAAAAGACACAAATCAGAAATTGCATTTGGTGTGGTTCGTCGTGCTCCTTTTTCTCACTGTGGACAAGCTCAGTCGAATTGCCGCAGGTACTGCATGGAGATGAATTTTCAACCCCTTCAGCAAGCAGAGAAGGATTTTTTTTTCTCGACGTTTTTGACAGGTAAGATTCAAAGATGAATGACACTCTTCAACCGTGATGCGTCCCATAGTACCGGTCGTGGTCATTGTAACCAAGTTCGACACATTTCTACAAGATATCCAGCAGAAATTGGAAGAAAAAGCGGAAGAAGAAGACGAGGAAGTTGATGATGACGAGCTCGAAAAGCTTGCCTTTATTGAGGCAGACAAACGGTTCGAGCAGCACTACAAGAAACCCCTTTTGAGCATGAAGCATCCACCAAGGGCCGTTGTGACTCTTTCTGAAGGTGAAAGAGCTTGGTGTGCAAAGTTGCATCGTGTTTGACGAGAAATTACTTGAAGTGCACAAGTCGACTCCGGACGATAGTCGCTTAGCCCGATTGATTGATGAATCACTGAAAGTATTGTCTCTGACAGAAACGCAGCGTCAAGCACCAAGCGGTTATGACCTTCGCAATTTTTTCGCCTCCGCCCAAAGTGCCGATAGTAGAGTTAAACTCACCACGTCTGCTGCGTAAGTATCATTCCCCTTCATCACTGGGTGTTTTATTCATTGAACGTTGACTCCTGCTTCGCTAGAAATGGATTAAATTGTTGGTGCTCAATAAATATAACTGACCTCATCTTAAACCGTCATTTCCTCAGGGAACTATTATAAAAATCACTCCGAGAAGATGTTCCGTGGCGGACCTTTCATCAAGACTTGGGACACCTTCTGGACAGATCCTACATCGGGGCCTCAAGCACCCATCAAGGTAAGCGATTCGATCCCCTGTAGTACCAAGTTTATTGATATGATTTCTTCCCACAAGCTTATTCGTCTCTTGGAAAAACATTTGGATGACAACCGACGTCTCATAGGCCACCGACAATCATCCGACTTCTCCGAGGTGAATGCCGACCCCGATTTGCTGGCCTTTTGTAGGTGGGAACAGCGGGTAGCAGGTTAGTGAATGTTTTCTTGGTTGTAATGGGTATCAATAGGCTAACTACGGCAATGCGAAGACACGGCACTCATCATGGAGAAAGTCTACGTATTCAATATCAACGATGAGAAAACACTTGAAGCTATAATAAAATGGTATGATCAGGGCAGCGAGACTGCGACATACATTCGGAAGGAAGTAATGCAACTTTATCGACAACGCCGGTCAGAAACGTACCAAGTACCAAAGGAGTGGTCCGAGAAAGTTGCACAGCCGTTAATCGATATTGTGTGCAAGCGACCGGTGGAGGTTCCAGGGTAGATTTGTGAGCAAATTCATCCCCCAGAGCAAACATGTGCACTACATATATCTCATCAAATATACTTGGGCTCCCGATGCGGACTGAATGAGCTACTCGCGTAAGAGACCAACAATTTGGGATGGATGTTAGCATTTCGTGAACGAATTCGTACTTCATAAATTGTCATAAAGCGCCCACTTCTTCGTCACTCTAGGGTCACATTTGTTATTCGACAAGACTGCCATATCCGCAAGTGGATCCTCAATAATACAGTACAAAATCATCCAGGAACCGTGCGTTCAAGTCGCCTCCAGATGTCGAAGTGGTCCCATCCAACACGGGCGCATAGACCAATAGACGCAAATCTTTCTTCTCAGGC